TTACTGACCCATCAAGTCATCAGTCGACTAAGCAATATGTCGTCTAGGAAAGATAAACAATTCTCTTCCTCTTCTACAGACAGATGTAAGTGATGTGCTTGCTATTTTGAACTTCATTCATTCGATTGCCAAATTGACATGGCAGAACAAGGCGCTTATTACTCACGGATGATGACAATATCATCTACCTAGCTTCTATAAAGTGGCACATTTTCAATGAAATCCTCGAATAAATTCTCAATGTACGACATATAGATAGATATGTGCTAAAAGAGGCACTAACGGATTTGTCATAGCAACACCATCAACTTCGCGGAAACATTTGCCTTCAAATGTAAGTAAACCGAACATTGTTAGTACATAGAAGTAACGATGCAGACAAATTACGTCTTCTTATTGCTTTATCTAAACCAAAAATTATTATTATTATTGTTATTGAAAGAGCACAGGGGCAATTGTGACTTACTTAACTTGACTGACTTATAGACTTAAAGTCAGCATTGATGCCAAGCAGTGGACACGAGAGCTGTCAATGTGTATCCACTACAAACCTACAGGAGGTGAATCATGCGCCAAAATAGCTCAGTGGGAACAGTTTTGACTGCAGTACAGTACAGTACAGGGAGATGTCGGCTGGAATCTTTTAAAGGGATATAATTTCCTTCAAATTGAGGTGGGATAGAGAAGGTTTGCTGTCGAGCAATATAACAGCGGATGAGATACGTATGGGCCAAGGGTTTTCCGCCGAATGCCTCCAACCACACTACCTACTTGTGTATTGTATATATACATATTTATATGGAGAGTGAAATTATGATTATTATAAAAATACAAACTTGATGTATATTATAGACAACGAGGGTTACACCACACAAACTGTTGTCTCATAGGATTTCATCATGAGCTGATACCAGTTAGAGAACCACTGGAAAACCAACCAGAGAGTACTGCTAGACAGCTGTTTCTTACTAGTTTGGGACCCCACCCCACTTGGATTGGAACCCAGGACCTTTTGGTTACAAGGCCAGCGAGCTTGTAGACCATTAAGCCTCTGGAACCCGATCCAATGGCCAGTCAGTGCATGGATTCTAACTTCTGCCAATTGATGCACGACATAGCGCGAATGGCACTAGCCAATTTCTTCGGTGGCGAGTATTTGTCCTCACACCCCCTATCTGCTGCACCCTACCGGTCACGACTTCTTCCCACGAGAACCCGCCCAGGTAACTACCTACCTGAATAGGGCCAGTCGCTAGTGAGCATTTCGTCGACATTCAAGTGTTGGTTTGTAGGGATTTGATTGATTAGTTACAGGATTTCATCATGAGCTGACATTGATTAGAGAGCCATCAGAAAACCAGCTGGGAATATTGGACAGCTGTTTCATCCCAATTTGGAACTCTTCAGCAGCACGCACACGCCGCGCGATGTCGTGAATTGGCTGGATCGGGTCCCAGTGGCTTTATGGTCTACGAGCTCGCTGGCCTTATAACCAGAAGGTTCGAACCCCCGTGGGTGCGTAGTGATGATGAGTCCCAAAGTAGACTGATGAAACAGCTGTCCAGTACTCCCTTGTTGGTTTTTCAATGGTTCTCTAACCAATTTCAGCTCATGATGAATTCCTGTAAACAATCAATCAAATCCCTACAAACCAATACTTGAATGTTGGTCTCATACTTTGTGCGCAGGCTGAGACACTGTCCAGACAACCAGACCGAAACATATGGTTGTCTTAAGCGACCAATTACCAAACCTTTAAACCTAAACTCTGATGCAAAAGACAGAGGAGAAGTGAATCCGTGGTTTCCGGTGACCAAGATAAGTTTATCCTATCCTATTCTATCCTTTCAGATTCTACAGTCCATATACACCATAGGTTTGGAGTCAGGGTTTTCAGCTCCTTTAGGCGATAGATCTGCTTGTTCGCCACAGTTCGTTTATAAGCGCCAAACCTTCGATTTTGTTAGGAACAGCCCGCTTCGCCCCTCCCCCGCCCTGTGTAAACGCATTGAATAGGACTCACAACCTGGTAGAGACTATGAACAGATGGCGGCGAAGTTCAACAATAGCGCCCCTCGAGTACGAACACTCAACTGACCTTGAATGCTTCCTAGTCGTTGGTTGGTTGAGGAAACTTAGCATTATTTTAGCGCGAAAATGAACGGTGTTCATCTGCTCACATGCAAATTTCACCTAGATCACGTATTTCAATACTGCATGGATAATGGATTGATCGGATGTTCTCGTATATGTAGCTGTGGTGCTTCAATGAACCTGCAGCCGTATTCTCAGGTCATTGATGGATATATACTTAGATGTACAGAGTGTGGGCAACGAATAAGTGTTCGTACTGGTGACACTTTCAGTTAATTATCCTTTAGGAACTTGCTTTGAAAAATCGAAACTTTCGTTGACGAATATACTGTTTCTGTGCCATTACTGGATTTTGAAGTCTGGGGTGAGATCAATTGTGGCTCAGACAGATAATACGTTGAATGTCGTTGTCGAGACTTAGCACCGTGGAAAATTAACAGTATTACACAAGTGTTAGGAAGAGTCGGTGTTGTCGTTCACACCCGAAATTCGGAAAGAATTTATTGAACTTATTCGAGATAGGAGTGCTGGCACTCTTCTCTCTATTATTCAGAGACTCGTCTTGCCAGGCCAACCTACCATTCACACGGATGAATGGACAGCATATAACCGATTATCCAATTTGGGATATAAACACCACCGACTTAACCATTCGAATGACTTCGTCGGTCCCAGAACTGGTACTCATACGAATTCAATAGAAGGTTTCTGGGGAAGACTTAAAAATAGAATAAGTGCTATAAACGGATCTCAAAAAAAGTTATTTTTAGCCACTTAGATGAATACATGTAAAGGAATTGGTTTAATTTAAAAATCGAAACTCTTCATTATAGTTGGGACATCCTTTTATCTCATAGTAGACAAAAATACCCTGTTTAATGTTTTTTTTCATGGTTTTTTATGTAAATATACGTAATTTTTTCATGCGCAAATCCCCCATTTATCTGATTGGTCGACTCAAGGTCATTCGTGCGTTTGCATCCCTTGGGAGGCTATTGTAGAACTTTGCTCAGATGGCAACGACAACAACTTCGAGAGAGAGAGAGAGAGGAAGACCAGAAGTCCATCTTCCCACGGTTATACGAGGTCGTTTTTGTGCGGACGAGTTGGGTGTTATTAGTTCGACGCTGGCATCAGTCAATGAAATCCACAACAGTTGGTCTAAGCCACGTAGGAAGGTGTAGACTTCCAGGCTGGGGTCCTCGGGACGGTAAAAATCTATGGTTGGAAACAATTGGTGACATGGCTCAAACTCATCGTTCTCAGTGGCGCAGATGCATCCACTCCTTGTGACTTATGATCTCCAATGAAACTATTTTGTTTTTTTTATTACTCCTTTGTCTCACACCTCTGCTCACTGTTTCTATTATGCTTTTCTTGTACTTTCTTCTCTTGCTTCGCGTGCTACACGGAATGTGGCGACTTGAACTTCCGCACATTTGTGCAAAGTTCTATGTCGAAAACAGACAGACAGACAGTTCGACGCTGGTATAAAAGAAGACTAAGTCAGGAGGCGATGGAAGCTTGGAAGCAGCTGTAGACTTAGTTGGCTTATGAAAGTAATTAAACAGCACAATCGACATGTGCTACTGACGGCTTACACGTTCCATTCCACTCCAAATGACTAAGTGGTTTGTGTGTGTGTGTGTGTGCGTGTGATAAGATAATTTACAAGGACACAAATGCATAATCATAACAGTTAAAGAATCAATCAATCAATAAATCAATCTCAGTTTCGTGCCCTTGAAGTACAAACGAAATCTGGTCCATCACAGAGCAAGAGCAATTCGCTCTGCTCGGATGACTGTCTTGATGAGGAAGTTTATAATAAAAAATAATGAGCGGTTGATGAGTGAGAATGGTTATCCAGTAAAGTTTATTGATAAGAATATGAATCTAAAATTAAAGCAGCCCAAGGTACACCAACAGTTCCGAGGGGAAGGAAGGCCTTATTCTTACAAATGCAGTCAGTTCCCCCGGGGGACAACATCAGCCAGATACTAACACAGCGCCTTAGAAATGAGGTGGTAAAACGAATTACACAGTGTCTTCAAAACCACCCATCCCTATTTAGCTTTCGGGAGAAAAAGATAAACGGCCTAATTTCGCCTTTTCCAAGTATTCGAATTGAACTGCTCCTGTGGAGTGAGTCAGTCAGTTACTTGCATAGACCGTACAATTATGTGTGTCTCTCGCAGAATTTCCGAACATCACCCTGCACAGTGACTGGTTGGTTAAGCAAAGGACAAATAGAATCTATTCACAGCGCTATTCTATCTATCTCATTCATCTTGTGGATACACAACACAAGACTGATTGATGTTGACAAGGCGGCTTTCAGGGTCATTCACCGCACACCAACCAACAAATCTCAATTTCGCCATAAGACTAGTTCGACTACTAAATATTCCTGAAGCTGGCTGGCTGTTTGGCCATTACGATCCATATTAACAAGCCTAATTTGTGCATCCAAAAGAAGTTGGTTAGTTCAGACATTATCCATCTTTGCCCGCTTGGCCATCCATCCAGGTTTGAATGATCCTGAATTTTTGTGGAATTTTCCTCATCTTAGTTGATATTCTATTTCCTACTATGTCTTTGTTGTTATTATTATTATTATAATTTACGCATCTTTAATGGTCTGTGGTGGTGATCCCATTGTGATCTAACTTTACAAATCGTTATTATTATAAAAATACACGCGGATATTGATATTGACTACTACTAATCGAGAATATTCTATGTATATAAACGTGCATATATGCATACATAATTGTAGAGCCAGAGGATAAGGAATTTATCGTAAAGGGGATATTCTTTGGTGGCTAAATTATATTTTGTGTTTTTTGATAAAAATGTGTGTGTGTGTGTAATTTCTCTTTATTTTATTGTTTTGTTTGGCTTACCTGAACATATTCCTTGGTCGCTTCACTTCGCATATCACTAGGAAGTGTGAATAATCTCGATGCATTATTATACATAGGCGGAACTTCTTCACTAGATGAAGACTTACGCTGAAATGGAATGAAAAATTAAACAAGAAAAAAAAAATTTATAAGAAAGGAAACGTCATGATTGCCACGAATAATAAAAATAATAGTCAGCATATTACTAAAATTAAAATATTAAATATATATATATATATATGAAATACACCCCATTGTATATATTTGTGATACACATGGATTACATACACTTATATCACGCGAGGTAGTTTCTAATGAAAGTATGAAGCCAAGTCCCCGAAATATATGTACAGAAGAGCTGAGTTGTCATTAATATTCTTTACGTCTAGTACTGAAATCGCTTCTACACTATGGAGTACCCCATTTGGAAATTACATCTAAATATTCTTACAAGTATAAAACTTGAGCACTGTGGTGTGGTAGAGTATAGCTACTCCATCATTATGGATAAGATTTTATTTTGATAAACTGTCACACACACAGTGTAGTGTAGAGTTTGTTATAGAGTAAGTAATATTAACTGATACGACCATACACGCCATTTCGAGCACAATTGATTATTATTCCCACTCATAATCATCACATCAAGTCTCTCACTCACTCACACGACTTTCTTGTTTCCTTCATTTATATACACATGAGTGGAATTGATGATTAGACATTTCAATACAAATCAGTAATATAGGATAATGTACATTCAGAAATAATAATAATAATATGAGTGTTATGAGTGATCAGTTACAACAATCAGATGGGAAATAAGACGAGTGTTTTTGTTTTATAGTCAAAATAAGTGAGTAACTTGTTAGAATGTTGTGATGATGTACGTGAATTGAATTGAAATAGAATACAATTTAAGGTTATTTATTATCCTCCTCTGATTTGACTGACTCACTGACTGACTGACTGGTGGTAATAATATCTTCCATGCATATCTGTGGGATTTGCATTGAGTCATTTCTCTTGCATGTGTTGTGTTGGATGTAGACTCGATGAACCAGGTAGGATTCAGTAATCAACCTCTCTCTCTCCACCTACCTATATTACTTTTTAGAATTTTAACCCTCTCCCACCATGATATTGTGTGGTTGTGTGTTAATGCATGCATGCAGTGCAATGTTCGGGTGGGGCAACCATTCTTACCTTAGCCATTAAATTCTTATGTTCCGACAATCTCACTACCCCCAACCTACTAGTTTGACCTATGTAGGTGGTTGACCTAACCTACAGTCATTGCAACGTATTTTGTAAATTATATTATTTTGTTTAATTGGGTCCACCGGGTCTTTTAGCCTACACAGCTTTTCCTACCTGAGTGATGTTCCCATTGGTGTTGGTTTTATCAGAATCCAGGATCGCAAATTGGTTGTGAAAATACATGATATATATATTCCTGTTTCATATCAATCAAGGCTTATAGATAATTATTGACATCAGTTTGACAACTGGGATAATGTCAAAAGTTTAGACAGAGGAAACACCACCAAAAGTGTAGTCAGGGAATTCCTAGAAGCCTGGTACTCACTCAAATGAATCAGCTAGCGATTAACAAACACGTTAATATAGACCAAATCTACCAACTAATAATAAAAAGGATATCATGTGACGAGAAAGTTTAAAATTCAAGTCAATAGAAAATGATCAATGCAGATGTAAAGATGGTTATCAGGAGACGCACGCATTTCTACCACCACTCATGAAGAAATTTAAATCAGTTCACTTTACGCTAAAAATTGTGCTGAAGGGGAATGTTGTCCAACAGAGGGAGACAACGGAAGCGCCGCAACTAAACCAACCAGCTCCTCAGACAACACTGTTAATTGCAATCCCGGAATAGATTTTCAACTATTGACTTCAAGATGATAATGAATGTCACATCAGGAATCAACATCACTTAAAGAAAACAGTCGGAGGTGAAAAAAAAAAATCAATTGTTTCGTCTCAGTGTGTAGCTCTCTTCAGCGACGCGCACCCAAGAATTCACCCATCATGAATCCAGCGGGAGGAGAAATTTTTGTTTCCTTAGGCTCTGGGTCAGAATCCAGTAAATAGCTAGCTCATGGATTATAGGTTGTACAGTGAGTTCCACAGCCAACAAGGGCAAATGATTTGTCCAGCTGTGTATTTTGAGCGGTGATTTGATCAACGTTTTACTATATAGGATTTCGGAGCAGTCAGTCAGTAGCGATTTATACTGCATTAAGGATTCAGGGAATGTGAATGATTTTTAAAGAAAAGTCATTTTATTCGGGATGTGGCTATAAAACTATATCGATTGAGATAGCTAGGAGACGTGTTGCAAATATGTCGGGGCAACGCCTTCGTGGTCAAAAAAAAATATTAACTGCTATAAAAAGTTAGGTTGGAAAACAGCTTGAGATAGTCAGATCAAAAACGTCATATCAGTTTATAAAGGCTTTGAGAATTGATTTGTGCCACATTTTATCTAACTCACACTACCACCCTCTGCATTCACAACTCCCCCCCCCTTTGTATCTCATCAGGCAGGAACAGAAGCCTATACAGGAAACTATATGCTCGCACTAGCAAGTACAAAAACTCAACCATACCCCCACTTGGCTCGTGTTCTGTGCGATGAAGAAAGCATTAGACGTGAAACTTATAACTTATTAAACAGTCAGTAGAACAATTGGATCTCATCCTTCAAACTCATGTCATTTATAGGTACAACGTTTTCTTTCATTCTTTTTCTTTTTTTGTTATGTGAAGTTTTGTTTCTCTCTTCCTTACAAACTCTACTTAAAACATTCTTGTTCGTTCTTTCACACTCTCTGTATATCTCGACCATTTTGTTACGGCTTACGCTAGTAAATATCCTAGTAGTATCTACTTTTCTAACACCTTCAAACAACATTCTGTTCACTTTTGGCTTTGCTACCGACCGATATGCTACCGATATGTTGTTGTCAAAAACTAACTGAGACTACCCATAATCTATGTAGAATTTTATTTATTGTTAATGTACAAACTGGATGGAATGTACTGTAGTAAAATGCTGAGAATTCCATTCTGTGTATCACAAGTACTGTTTTGGAATAAAGCAAATTTTATTATAGACTGCCTGTTTTCAATCCTCAGCCTTCTTAGAAGCAATAAGTTGAGACTGTAGGTGATACGGCTTAAAATTGCACATCGCAATGAGCCAGCAAACTTCACTGGCTTCACTGAATTGTTCCTGCAGATCCTACTATGCCAGGAAGGTTGTCAGGATAGCGATTAAACTAAAAGCAGTTACCGTCATAATGTGCTGAGGGTCTGTGGGTGAAGTTGTACTGCTTGAGAACAGGGGTTTAACAGCAGTACGGTGTTTCTCTCACTCAAATGACCAGCATGACAGCTATACTGTCTCTCTACTCTAGAGAGACGGGGGTTATAAAAGGTCAACCTCTAAAATTATACATCCTGACTTACCCTATCTACAGTGGTGCGTAACCGGCATTAAGTTACTAATACGGAACCAATCCAAAAAACCAGTTCATATAGGCCGTGTGTGGCTGACCGTCCAGCATCAAGCAGGTGTTTCCACTGGACTCTGCGGTCACGACGCAACACTAACTCTCTCTCTCTCTGTTTCAGGTACCCGAAGAATCAATCAACTTCCACGGTATAGGCAGCCGAGAAGTAACAACCGCCTACACACACTTCCAAAAGCACACAAAACCCTCCTGAGCATCCTGTAACTTGAGCTGCTGAAGAGTTCGATGTGGAGACTCACCTTTCTAAATCCAACCAAAAGTTTGCGCGTTCCGAGATCTTGACAGGTAAGTTTGAATAAATTAAGCTTTCAAAACTTGAGGTCATACAATGATAAGTAAAAAAAACCAAAACACGTAGTGTTCAGTGAAGAGTCTCCTTCGGCGGCGAATTCATTTTCTTAGCTGTACAATCGCAAATATATACGCGTTATTTTGTGTGTGTATGTATGTATGTATACATTAAGTTTGTCAAACAAAAATAGACAATTGATTATGGTTATTTCAACTAAACAGGTGAAGGAGTTTGGTAATTGGAGTTACCTAATACAAAATCAGTCAAGAAAATTGGCTGTTAATGAAATTAAGGCAGTAACAAAGGTGATGATGAGTTTTCACAAACAGTTGTTAAAAGAAGTAATGTAATAATAATAAGAATAGTTTGATGATTGAGTTTTACTCAGGATACACATAGAAACAAAGTAGATAATACGAAATCATGTAAGAGTTCTAAGTGAAGACACAAGAATTATAAGCAATTAAAGAACAGGCAAACAAACAAAATCAGACCATCAAAAGTCAACAAAGTTGTTACCAGGATAGTAGAAGTGGTTGAGTAATTCTCCTTTGTATTCACACCTCCGGTTTTTCTATGTGAATGACCAGAGCTTCAGCGATACAAAGAAGACGAAACCGTATTGCCTTTGATAGGTGGTTATTCTTGAATCTGTAGATTAATTACTTTGAAGTAGGAGGCGTTTGTTGAAATGCAATGATCAGTGTTAACCAAGTGTTCAATTATCTCACTCCTTATAGCACCACCACTATTGCCTTTTCGCAACCATGCTGGCTGAATAGTGTTCTTGAATCCTCTTGGACAGGATGCACGTCGAACGACCGATGTACCTGGCTCCACAGCAGCAGGTGAACTGATATATGCACATAGAAGTGGCCAGATGCGGGATCTTGTCCTTGAGGCTTCTGCAGATCAGTGTGCGACTGGAGAACATTATTCTTAGCGTTGCTGCAAAGAATGTTCTTCTCAGAGATGATGTGATCCTTCTCTTGAGAATATCGCTTGTTATATCTCCCTTGAAATCTAAGTTTATGTAGAGTTTCTTTTTAGCTCGCAAGTGAAGTTTCGTTTTTCCGAATTATTGGTTTAATATTTTTGTCAATGAACCTTAATGGGTATCAATTTTGGATGAAGACTTCTCTTAGAATATCTAATTCTGTTTCCAGAACGTCGGGACTACAGATGCTTTGATTTTGATGACTTAATTTTGTTTCTTCGCCTGTTCTTTAATTGCTTATAATTCATGTATCTTCACTTAGAACTCTTACATAATCTCGTATTATCTACTTTGTTCCTATGTGTATCCTGAGTAAAACTGTTATGTACTAGTTTCCCCGTTGCCAAATTGTTATGTACTCGTCGCTAAATTATTGTTATGGACTGGTCGAGAATTTAATAGCCCTGACGCAAGAAGGCGGAAATCAGAAGACCACTAGGTTTGCGATGATACTTCTATTTCCAAACACAAGGAGAAGCAATAAGTGGTATCACACCAAAGTAAGTGTATGTCACAAGATTGTGAGAACGATATATATATATATATATATATATATATATATATATATATATATATATATATATATATATATATATATATATATGAATGTTCAGACAAAGGTGTGAACAATCATTAGACAGTCTTAACATGAATGGCTAATTATAATGAAGTATCGATCCATATATACATAGCGAAATATAGCAGACATGTCAACAACCACCATATATGGATATATGTCACCAAGCAACGGACTGTCAACAAACACTCATATTATATATAATATAATATAAGGAGAATATACATTGTTAAAGGAGACAAGTTCATACAAGTGAAATGGTCACAGACTAAGAGAACAAACAGAAACAGAGACCAACATACACACACATATATATATGTGGATACATATCATAAACTCACTCATCAAACTATTCATATTATTACATAGCTTCGTTATTTAACAACTGTTTGTGACAACTCATCACCTTTGTTACTGCCTTAATTTCATTAACAGCCAATTTTCTTGACTGAATTTGTATTACGTAACTCCAATCCATGCTAACTTCCCGCGTTTTCTCCGTTACAGACTTCTAAAGACGAGAGCTGAGGCCTTGGCAATTCATGACTTTAAGCCAGCCAGACAGGTCTTTGTATACAAAAGAAGTATGAACAATCCCTATTTCTGCCTTGGCCGTAGAGGGCTAGACATTTACGTGTTGGTTTGTAGGGATTTGATTGGTTTCAGGATTACATCATGAGCTGACATTAGTTAGAGAACCATTGGAAAGCCAACTGGGAGTACTGCCAGACAGCTGTTTCGTCTGACTAGTTTGGGACTCTTCAACAGTACGCACCCGCCACAACCAGTTCGAACCCAGGACCTTCCGGTTACAAGGCGAGCTCGTATACCATTAAGCCACGAGGACCCGATCGAATGGTCCTTGAATTCCAACTTCGGCCAATTCACGATATAGCGAGACCGCTAGCCAATGTCTTCGGCGAGTATTTGTCCTCACACCCGACCCGCTGCATCCTACTGGTCACAACTTCCCACATTTATTTATTTGTGTATTTTGTTTATTCACTTATTCTATGTACTTTTCCTTTATTACTACGACTATTATTATCATTAATATTACTATTCTCACTCTGAATTGTTTCCACTCGTCCTACTTGTCATTCGAAACCCAAAATTATTAATCTTTTTTTTATATTTTTCATTTTATTTTTACGATATTGAATTCCATCTTATCAAATTTCACACCATGTTATGTAACATTTTATATTCGCCTACTAATCCTATAATTATGTATCCCTTTCCAAATTCTATACACACACCTCACGTATTATTATTCCATATATGACATTAATTATTTTGCCACTTGACATTAAACCATGATTATAATCAGAAAGATGTTAATTGCAATTCATACTACTACTACCACTACTACTACTACTACTACTATCATTATTATTATTATTTCATGTATTCACACCTTTGATCTAATTCCCCCCCCTCGCCGGATATAATTTCTTAAAAACCAAATGTGTATATACGATTGTACAGCTTGATAATAAATTCGTTGTTGAAAAGAGTCTCTTCGCTGAATATCTTGTGTTCGTAACTCCAATTACTAATCTTCTTCACCTGTTTAGTTAACATAACCTTAACCAATTGTAATTTTTATACAATTGGTGGATGGTGGCTAGCAGTGGAATCCAGGATGCGCATTTCGTCCTATTTGGGACTCGTCAGCCACTGGATGTACCTGCATTTCTCAGTGAGTGATGATGTTCCCACCACCACGGAGGCTCGAACCCAGTGCCCATAGTTTCAAACACCACACCAGCCAAAGCGTTATGCACTAGACCACTTGGGCCACGAAAGCTGGCCACCTCTTGTGTGCAACGGGTCATATTAATTATTGAATTGAATTTTTGATTTTCCCGTCCATAGATTGATTGGACAGAAGTGCTCGGTCTCAACAATTGTAATTTTGTTCGACAAATTTAATGTACACATGTGCATACAAAATAACACATGTATATATATATATATATATATCTGCAATTGTACAGCTGAGAAAATGAATTCGCCGCTGGCGAAAAGAGACTTTTCATTGTACTAACCACGTGTTTTGTTTTGATTAATGATGCCTGGATGGGGATTATCCATAAAAAGAAACCACCTTACAAAAAATTAAAAAAACAACAACTCAACATACATCATCAGGATGTGAATTCAACTGAATATTCTTCCTATGATTTGTATGACTGTCATCTTTAGGATCCGTCTTCGTTTCTTGGTGTTGATGGTGTTGCTGTTGTTGTTGTTCTCCGGATAAATTACTACTATTCATTGTCGCCTCCAACAATGTTCGACATCGATTCTGTTCAGCCTTTAAGTTTTCCTCCAATTCTTTAACATAAGAACGAAGTTCACTCACTTCAGATTGACAATTGGCCAGTTGATTCTTTAATCTAAATGATATACACATATACAGATTTACAAACAAAAAAAATGAGGCAATGTTTTTATTTTTTAACACGAAATAAAATATTTATCATAAAAGACATAAATGACATAGGGCTAAGTTCAACAATAGCGTCCCCTCCCATAAGTGCAAACGCTCTCCTCTGCAATGACCTTGAGTGCATGCTAGGTCGCTGGCTGTGACGCCGGCACATGTCATTATCATACCTGAAATATAAACACTAATCACCCCAGATAAGCAGCAAATTTCATTCAGATCAGGTTTTTAATTACTGTTTGGACAATGTGTTAATAGCTCATGAAGGTTAACGTAAGCATTGGTGTTAGTCTTTCTGTCTGTTTTCGACATAGAACTTTGCACGGATGTGCACCAGTTCAAGTCGCCACACTCCACTCCTTGTAGCACACAAAGCAACAGAAGAAAGTAGAAGAAATTCATAATAGAGACAGTAAACAAAGGTGTGAGACAAAAGAATAGTAATATCGAAGAACAAGACAATTTCATTGGAAATCATAAGTTACAAGGAGTGGATGCATCTGTGCCAGCCAGCCATTGAGAACGATCACTTTGAGCCAGCCATATCACCAATTGTTTCTAGCCTTCATTGGTTTTTACCGTCCCGAGAACCCCAATCAGGAATTTAACTTGCTTACTTATCCACATTTTCCTGGTAAGTAATCATCAATCCTCTTACTGGCAACCATAGTAATTCAACCGAGAGCTTTGCCGAAGACCGCACACAACAGGATAGGAAAGAGATAAACAATTCACAAAAACACCGGTATCTTCAGTCACCTCGGTGAATACACATGTACAGAAACTAGTCTAACTTTGCAAATGATACTCCTCACATTATAACTGGAACGTATTTTTAAGTCATGCCAGAGAAAAATGCTCTGTTTAAAGTAATTTCATGCATTTTTTTGTAAATATACGTCAATTTTTTGTGAAAAAATTCATCATTTTTATGAGTGATCGACTGAAGGTCACTCGTGTGCGTTTGCATCCTTTGGGAGGATGATAGTGTTGAACTTTACCTGACATAGAACCTCACAAAGAAAATACCATGAAAATAAAAAAAAATTAAAATAGCAAATTTTATTACCATCCAGTTTGATAACAATCTCTATATAGTTTGTTTGTAAGGATTAGTTTTGTTTTGTTTTTTTACGAGTCGACCACGGATTGATATCATTTAGAGAAGCGACAGGGAGTACTGGACAGCCAGCTGTTTCATCAACCTAGTTCAGGAATCGTCGACAGTAAGCACCCACTGCACCGGGGTTCGAATCCAGGACCTATCGGTTACAAGGCAAGCTCGCTCATATAACCTATTATGGATAAGATTTTATTTTGATAAACTGTCACACACACAGTGTAGTGTAGTGCTTGTTATACACTAAGTAATATTAACTGATGCGACCACACACGCCATTTCGAGCACAATTTATTATTATTCCCACTCATAATCATCACATCAAGTCACTCACTCGCTCACTCACACAACTTTCTTGTTTCCTTCATTTATATTCATGTGTGGAATTGATGATCAGACATTTGAATACAAATCAGTAATATAGGATAATGTACATTCAGAAATAATAATAATAATATGAGTGTTATGAGTGATCAATTACAACAATCAGATGGGAAATAAGACGAGTGTTTTTGTTTTATAGTCATAATAAGTGAGTAACTTGTTAGAATGTTGTGATGATGTACGTGAATTGAATTGAAATAGAATACAGTTTGAGATTATTTATTATCCTCCTTTGATTTCACTGACTGACTGACTGGTGGTAATAATATCTTCCATGCATATCTGTGGTATTTGCATTGAGTCATTTCTCTTGCATGTGTTGTGGTGTTGGGTGTAGACTCGATGAACCAGTCAGGATTCAGTAATCAACCTCTCTCTCTCTCTTTCCACCTACATAGATTACTTCTGAGAATGTTAACCCTCTCCCACCCACCGTGCCATTGTGTGATTGTATGTTAATGCATGCATGTAGTGCAATGTAGTGGTGATCTTTATTCCAAATTACTTATCTTCTCGGGTGGGGTCAAACATTCTTACCTTAGTCACTGAATTCTTATGTTCTGACAATCTGATTACTCCCGATCTACTAGTTTGACCTATATAGGTAGTTGACCTAACTCACAGTGATTTTTAGGATATTTTGTAAATTATATTCTTTTGTTTAATTGGGTCCACCGACAGGGTGTTTTAGCCTACACAGCTTGTCCTACCTGAGTGAGTTTGCAGGTTATAATGCCATCCTAATTCCTGCTTTATTGAGAATCCTACTTGAAGTGTCCGGTGTCCCCTCCTTACCTTAAGATACAGACATAACAGGCGATAACATAACAGTGATAACAATAAACTTACTCATACGAATCAAGTGAATAGGTACGGGATTTTTCTTGTTCAGTTAAAATTGACTTTTCTAGTTCAGTCTGTTTGCGTTTCAGTTCACTGTTTTCTAATTTTAGCACGCTTAAATTGTCCTCTGCTGCCTGAAGTTGACTTCGCCAGGTCTCTTCAACCGATTGAGCATTTTCATACAATTCTCTATACTCGGCTGAGAGATGAAGAAATAAAGGCGGAGGGGAGGGGTATATTTACAAAACGTATTATATTGCAGACAGAGAGTGTTTATGTGAATTTATTGATAAATTTGATAGTGTGAAATATTCATATAATGGATGAATTAAAAGTCAATCTGAATGAAGAAGAATATTCTCTTCAATAATCTCTCCTATTCAGGTTCTTACAATTATAAAATAAATTATAATATTTGTTGTCGTTACAATAAAGGCCAGCTATGCGGCGGAAACATTTATTTTCAACGTAGAATAACAGATTAGCAGTGATGGTGTGTCAAAATAAATAGTCGTATTCGAGTGTGACAAACGTGCTCTAGGCTGAAATCGATTACAACATATTTCGGTGAAATAGGAGACAATGGTGGTGGTGGTGGTGGTGATTAGTCGTCATTATAAATTTGTAGAGTGTGGGGTAGGAAAATTGACAAGTTAGTCAGTTCAGTGTTATAAAAGGCGTCAGGATGTTTGAATAACAAAATCTAGTGGGATCATAACTAATGTGACGAATAATTGTTTATGCAATCAGGGATTAAATATGTAGGAATAATAAAAGTGACAAAATAGACAGGAAGTTCGGATGTGAAATATATGGTAGTGTAAATAGGGATTAACTTAACTTAAAAATAACATGAATAAACAGGAAGTTTGGATAAGTAAGTCAATGGGATAGTCACTATTAGAAGAATTACCTGTTTATGATGGCCATAGCAGGGTTGGACAAGGGTTAAACGTATTTCTTTTCGATATAAAGCGTGGGTTTGAGCTTTTGGATAGCTAGTGCCTCGGTTATGCCCTAATGTCTTAATTTCACTTCTTTTGATAGGTTTGATCGAATCTTGTAGATTTTTTTGAAGGATTTTTCGAATGGCACTGAATGTCCTGAATTGACCAGATTTTCTGTCACTAAACAATATACACACATTTTCGATCTCCTTTTACTAGCCAGACTGGGGAGTGTTCACGAGCACGTTTTTCAAGTTGGCCCAGAGGCAAAGCAAAATACCTTTGTAAACGCCTCTGCAAAATCTCTGACGAAGACATATTTCGCCGTGAGCCTACGACTAACGTTTTCCTGCAAGCAACTGTTCAGCTAGAACGCAAAAGACAAGCTGTCACATTAGGCCACTTCAAAGTGCATATGCTGGTTTACCTGCTCTCTGATGGAGCTGCTGAGTACATCGGCTGTACCGTGCACCAACTTGAAAACCTCACTCGTGAACACTCCCCAGTCTGGATAGTAAAAGGAGACAGAAAATCTGGTCAATTCAGGACATTCAGCGCCTTTCGAAAAATCCTTCAAAATAATATACAAGGTTCGATCAAACATATCAAATGTAGTGAAATTAAGACATCAGGGCATAGCTGAGGCACTAGCCATCCAAAAGCTCAAACCTACGCTTTATATCGAAAAGAAATACGTTTAACCCTTGTCCAACCCTGCTATGGCCATCATAAACAGGTAATTCTTCTAATAGTGACTATCCCATTGACTTACTTATCCAAACTTCCTGTTTATTCATGTTATTTTTAAGTTAAGTTAATCCCTATTTACACTACCATATATTTCACATCCGAACTTCCTGTCTATTTTGTCACTTTTATTATTCCTACATATTTAATCCCTGATTGCATAAACAATTATTCGTCACATTAGTTATGATCCCACTAGATTTTGTTTTCAACCAAACATCCTGTCTATCTATTGTTGTTATTTCTACATTTCTAACCCCCGAATTGCACAATCAATGTCAATCTTCTCAGTAATTATGGTGCTACTTTGTTTGAGTTTTATCTGTCCCACGCTGTTTGTTATGTCATTTTAATTCCTAATTGTAATTCTATTAATCTGACCATTGACCAGAAATTATTCTGGAACTTTCCCATCCATTTGTGATTATAAATACACGAATGTGCAGCCTCCTAGTTGACGATGACTTCGTCGGAAAAAAAAGGTTTGCTTCCTCGCTGGAAGCGTCTTTTTCATAATTCCTATGATCCAATGTGTGTAGTATTCCGTAATTGACAGCAATAAATAAATAAATATTAACACACAAAAACAACAATGAATGATGAAAAGTTTTTTCTTATTGACATTAAGTGAAGTGCAGTAGTAGTAAAAATGAAACCCTTGTCCTTATATTGCCTAGCTACCTGGAACACTACATAGATTGAATTGTTGGCTGTTTGGGAAAAAAATATATCCCCTTGAATAGATCAAGAACGGAAAATGTACTAGGATGATATCAGTACACTTTTCAGTATTATTATTATTATTACTATTATTCCAAAGATACTTCTCAACTGGCTACAACCTGAAGAATACAAAAAAACCCGAAAATTACATTTAAGATGTGTAAATACTTTTTCCACGATGACAAGGAATAAGAGTAATATTAGTCAAGAATGATGTAAAATGTGTCTGGCCGCTTCTATGTGCATCTACCAGTTCACCTGATCCTCTTCTTGTGGAGCAAGGTATATTGGCCATAGTAGTCAGAGGACGCCGCTTTCCATCGCACGGATACGAGAACATATTCCAACAGCACGGTTTTACAAGGGAGAAAGGAAGTGTGTGTGTGTGTGTGCAAAGTGCTCTATTCCGGAACACTTGATCGACTTCAATCACTCCACATTAAATCGTGACCATGATTTTAAGATCTACCGGATCTATGCTAACATGTTGGCCGCGATTTCTTTGTTACAGATTTCCAAAGACAGCGGAGGTCTTGGACATTCATAACTTTAAGCCAGCCAGATAGGTCTTTGTGTACAAAAGAAGTATGTACAATTTCTACTTCTGCCTTGGCCATAGAGGGATAGACATTTATTTATTTGTGTATTTTGTTTATTTAGTTATTCTATGTACTTTTCCCTTATTACTACGATTATTATTATCATTAATATTACTATTCTCACTCTGAATTGTTTCCACTCGTCCTACTTGTCATTCGAAACCCAAAATTATTAAGTTTTTAAAATATTTTTCATCTTATTTTTACGATATTGAATTCTATCTCATCAAATTTCACACCATGCTATGTAACATTTTATATTCGCCTACTAATCTTATAATTATGTATTATTATATTATTATTATATCCTTTAATTCCTGGAGGAACATAGGGCTTCAGCTGCGCACCTCCATCGCCTTCTGTTTTCTAACAACTTTTTCACCCCGCTCCAAGTCAACCCACATGCTTTCATCTCCTCCGCTTCACATGACCTCCTCCAAGTCACCCCACCCTTGCACTGACGACCAACTCGCCACCCGCTTCCCTTTCGGGTTCCACTAGAGCAATGGCTTGTCTAGTGATCCCAGTCACTTGATGGTTTCCTCAGAGTATGGCTAGCCAATCCATCTCCATTTATTCCTGCCTATTTGTTTCACAATCGGTTCCTGGTTGGTTTGATCGTTGCCAGAGATCCCTGTTGCTGATCTTTCCTGGCTGGCCATCTGATCTTGAGTGGTGTTGAGCGAAGACAACTGTTGATGAAGGTCTGAAGTTTGTTTGAGATGCTCTTCATGGCGCGCTGGCCAAGTCTCTGATCCGTATAGTGAGTAGCACTGACTTTACATTGGAGTTGAAAATCCGGATCTTATTTTTGATGTTGAGTGCTGTTGACTTCCACACAGACTTAAGAGTTATGAAAGCCTGTCTTGCTTTTCCGATTCTGGCCTTGATATCCTCGTCAGTTCTGTTAGCCTGTAGTTGAAACGATACTTCCCAGGTAGGTAAAGGAGGTTGTTTCTTTCAGGTTCCTCCCATTTATGCAGCCTCACTGTTGTCTGTTGTTGTTGTTGTTGCTGTGGCTGTTGATGTTGGCCAGGAATCTTCATCACCTACCTCTGTTTTATCTATGTTCACCTGAAGTCCTATCTTCTCAGGATGCTTCTTTGGCCAACTTGTTGCTTTTCACTTGCATATCTTTCAGTTTGTGGGAAATCAGACATATGTCATCATCGGCGAAGTCCAGATCCTCCAAGTTTTCTGATTGCCCGTTGTCTGTCGCATTATCCAATCTACTGCAATCAGGAAAATCATTGGTGATAGTAGACAGCCTTGTCTCACTCCCGTCCTTACTTCGAAGGCTTCTGTCAGTTTCCCGTTTGGGATTACTTGGCATGCAGCATTTTCGTATAACTGTTGGATGAGATGTATAATTGTCGATGGGACCCCACAGTAGTAGCGAAGTAGTTGCCAAATCACCTCTCGATCGACGCTGTCGATGTATCCCTTTCCAAATTCTATACACACACCTCATGTATTATTATTCTATATATGACATTAATTATTTTGCCACTTGACATTAAACCATGATTATAATCAGAAAGATGTTAATTGCAATTCATACTACTACCACTACTACTACTACTACTACTATCATTATTATTATTATTTCATGTATTCACACCTTTGATCTAATTCCCCCCCTCGCCGGATATAATTTCTTAAAAACCAAATGTGTATATACGATTGTACAGCTTGATAATAAATTCGTTGTTGAAAAGAGTCTCTTCGCTGAATATCTTGTGTTCTTAAGGTTAAATAATTAACAATGAAAAGAATTGACAACTCATAGGAAAATTAAATGGAATGAATTACATGAATGAACAATATATCTGTACACAGAAATACAATGAATGACATGCGCAAAGTTCAATTCGAGGAAATCTATGCAGACACACACATATAACGTTGACAAGCGGAAAAGACCTGAGAGGCAAGGGTTTCTTTCAAACTGGTCGCTATCCGCTCCCCAACATTAACTAACAGCCTAATGAAGAAATTATTGTTATTATTATTATTGTTATTATGCAAGATATATTCCACACGGAGTGTCATGGCATGAGAAAGACAAGAATAAAAGGAAGTCAAATGATAAGGTTCAGTGAACTTCGAGATCTTTATACATATTCCCCACCCTCCCTGTTTCTAGAAGAAAAGAGAAAATCGCTCCAACTTCATTAAGGAATCAGTGAGAAGAGGATTTGATCATATTAGATAATTGGAGGGATTCGGTCAGAGGAAGTTTTGCCCGGACCTAGGTTTCGTGCTAGTTGGAACTCACTAGTCCGCGGACAAGTGTTACGTATGCCTAGTCATCGCATACCTCGACGAGCAATGTTAGGTGATATAGTGTCAGCCTGGAGAAGAGCTAGCGGAGGTCAAACCAAAACATGGCTTCATCAGTCAATGAAATCCACAACAGTTAGTTTAAGCCATGTAGGAAGGCGCAGACTTCCTGGTTGGGGTCCTCGAGACAGTAAAAACCAATGGAGGCTGGGAAAAATTAGTGACATGGCTGAAAATCGTTCTCGGTGATGTCTGGCGCAGATGCATCTACTCCTTGTTAGTTATGATTTCTAATGAAATTGTTTTGTTCTTCGTTACTACTACTCCTTTGTTGTCTCACACCTCTATTTACTGTCTCTTTCTATTATGGATTTCTTCTACTTTCTTCTGTTGCTTTGTGTGCTACAAGGAGTGGAGTGTGGCAACTTGAACTGCCGCAAATATGTGCAAAGTTCTATGTCGGAAACAGACAGACAGACATTAGTCAGCAAGGCGTATCTGCAACCACATTGGAGGAACTGGTGTCCCACCTATCCGAGATTCGAACCTGCGTAACCCTGTGAGTAATGTGGCTAGAGACGTTACAACCACTGAGCTATTTGGGCTTGTGATTGACCTTCTGTAGGACTGTAGTGGGTAGTTTGATTGGGCACTAGTCAGTAAGTAGTGTGATGTATCTAGTCCTCCTCTCTTCGGTGCAGACTGAATTCTATCAGTCAGTCAGGTTTGCAGTGTGGCCACCATGGCACTAGGTGGCTAGCTCGCCATCACGGTGGAGCCCTATGTTCCTCTAGGAACTACAGGATACAATAATATAATAATTGTGGCACCGTGTTCTACGTTTAATTAAAATCTCTGCTTACAACAACGTTACTTAGGACACTGATAAGAATCAAATACAAAGCTTCGGCCAGAAGTCTGCAAAAAGTATTTCTTCTCGTATATGCTGCATTAGTGAGAGAGAGAGACCCGCGTATATAAACATGCTAACTCGGGCACCGATTCTTGTTACATGGTGGGCACTTGAAGATCTCTCTTTGGCGCATGCCTAATCCATCTCCATTCATATACCTGTTAAGTCTTGTGTATATATCCTCGTGCATGTACACTGTGTTGCAAATATAACCAAATGACTGAATGAACAAAAGTTTGCAAAAAACACTCCTCCAATCCTATTTATTCCACTTTGCATTGATCCACATCCATGAACAGCTCTCCTACTGTGTTGTTGTCTGCTACCAGTTTATACTTAGCACCATCACGTAGTATTTTGGAAGTAAAAATCTGGCTTAGGTCTTTTCCATTACTGTTTGCCGAACCCACTATGCGGTGAAAACTGGCTGCTAGCCAAATCGGTTTGCGTACAATAATCTATAATGATGTATGCACATGAAAATCTATAAATATGTGTTGATTTCGTTAATAAAGGATATGTTTGATGGCCCCTGTCTTCTGTTGTTACATTTGGTGTCACTGCCTACCGACAAATAGAAAGCTATGCCCTGCAGTTTTTCATGGAGACATACGGATAGATCTTCGAACAGGACTTCGAGGCTTCTTCGCAGTTCAATGGCAATGAGGCTGTTATTTGAGACGCTTCTGGGAGGTCGGGAGAAAGCAGCTTATGAAAGTGTCAGGCGAAATACCGACGAATATTCGACACGGTCAGGAAAAAACACTTTCCAAGGTGGGAAGAACCACATATGGTCACTTTGAGTGAGATGGGGTTACGCAGACACAATCGCAATGGTGAACAAAGAGAAACAGGTGAACATCAGCCAGTGCCGAGATTCCAGACAGCAAGACAAACGAACAAACCCCCTAGAATGAGGAAGACAGAACCAACTTCAGTCAGAAGTCATTCAAGTGATGGTTTGTAGGGATTTGATTGGTTTCAGGATTTCATCATGAGCTGACATTGGAAAACCATTGGAAAACCAGCTGGGAGTACTGCCAGACAGCTGTTTCGTTTGACTAGTTTGGGACTCTTCATCAGTACGCACCCACCTGGATTCGAACCCAGGACCTTCCGGTTACAAGGCGAGCTCGTATACCAATAAGCCGGAAGGTCCTGGGTTCGAATCCCGGTGGGTGCGTACTGCTGAAGAGTCCCAAACTAGGACGAAACAGCTGTCTGGCAGTACTCCCAGCTGGTTTTACAATGGTTCCAATGGTTTTCCAATGTCAGCTCATGATGAAATCCTGAATTCAGTCAGAAGTCTTTGACGGTGGGTACGAGTTTGGTGAGAGCTGTCTGATAACCGAATTCTCCCTCTCTACACAAGTCTTTAGCTGAACCTAGGATTACTCATTAGCTGTCACCTCCTGCTCCTCCTCTTCCTCACACGAGTAGTAGAACAGGGTCAGTGAGTCAGACTAGCCGAGCACAAAATCCTAGCAGAAAAATCTAGAATGGTTGACCGAAATAATGTAAGAAATCTACAAAATAATTCGGTTATACCACTCACCATATGCGATCACACCCACACAACCATACAATAGGCTGAATAGGATAGGATGACAGTTTTAAAATCTAATGTCACAGCTGGGTGGAGGGAGGGAGGGAGAGATTGATAACAACGGAAGCGCTGTTTATCGAATCAACTGAAACGGGGGAATACGTGTAATAGGAATGATTCAACTAACACCTGTCCACCCAGATATCTGGAAAATTCTACTACCACTCCAATGACGATGACAAATAGAAGAGAACAAAGAAAACTATAAAACTGAAGTTTCGAAGTCGTGTGATTATAATTGATGGTGATATGATTATGAACAGCTCTATTTCCCGTGTTAGTTGGTGGTATAATAAGGTGAGCAACATTGAAGTTAGGCGTCGAGTTCTAGGTAAACAGGGGAAATCAATCGACGAAGTTGTGAAGTTACAAAGACTGAGATGGTTAGGACATGTGTTACGTATGCCAAGCCATCGCCTCCCTCGACTAATGGGCAATGTTAGCGGATATAGGGTCAGGCTGGAAAAAAGTTAGTGGCAGTCAAACAAAAACATGTCACCAGTCAATGAAATCTACAACAGTTAGTCTAAGCCACGTAGAAAGGTGTAGACTTCCAGGCTGGGGTCCTCGCGACGGTAAAAATCTATGGTTGGAAACAATTGGTGACATGGCTCAAAATCGTTCTCAATGGTTAGCGCAGATGCATCCACTCCTTGTAACTTATGATCTCCAATGAAACTTTTGTTTTTCTTTATTACTTCTTTGTCTGACACCTCTGCTCACTGTTTCTATTATGCTTTTCTTGTACTTTCTTCTCTTGCTTCGCGTGCTACATGGAGGGAGTTTTGGCGACTTGAACTGGTGCACATATGTGCAAAGTTCTATGTCGAAAACAGACAGACAGACAGCAATAATGAATTGTGTTCGAAACTTTGTCATCCAGTAAGTAATACTAATACTGTTTCACTAACCGTGTGTGTGATACACCTAATAAACAAACTAATATGAAAGTCGTTGATCAACAATGTACACTAGTTAAATGTACAAGGAATGAATGTGTTATTGACGACTCACTCACTCACCCACTCACTCACTCACTCACTCACTAAATCACTCACCTATTGACTGTTTCAATTGTTGCTCTTTCGCTTCCCATTCCAATGTTTGATTGGTTAAATTTGACTGGAGTATTTCCAATTGCCTCATGATTGGTTGAGCTGCATTCGTAGTAACTTCATTCAACGATTCAATTTTCATTTGAGCATCGGATAACAAGTCCTTAAATAGTGATTAAATAAACCGAGTAAGTATACATGATATGAAGACAGGGGGATTGATGTGAATAAAAGCAATGCTTCTAAGATCAAATAAAGAGTACAATGGCTATCAACAAAATCACAAATTTTCTATAGTTTGGTTTGTAAGGATTAATTATGTTTTTACGAGTTGATCACGGATTGATATCAGTTAGAGAACCATTGAAAACCAGCACTGGAGTACTGGACAGCTGCTGTTTTATCCGCCTAGTTTGGGAATCATCGGCAGTACGCACCCACTGCCAGGATTCGAATCCAGGACCTTCCGGTTACAAGGCAAGCTCGTTGGGGTCGCGCTAAATCATGAATTGGTAGAAGTTAGAATTCTCGAGCCATTGAATCGGGTCCCAGTGGCTGAATGGTATACGAGCTTGCCTTGTAACCGGAAAGTCCTGGGTTCGAATCCCAGTGGGTGCATACTGCCAATGATTCCCAAACTAGGATGAAACAGCAGCTGTCCAGTACTCCCTGGTTTTCAATGGTTCTCTAACTGATATCAAACCGTGATCAACTCGTAAAATCACAAATTTTAGATTGCTTCATTAGTTTGCAAACAATAGAGTAATAGCCCCATTTATCTGCCCCTTTATCAGATTCTTCACATTCCTAAACTAAATGGCCTCATGCTGAATCCCTCAAAATGCCAGACTATCGACTTCTCCTTTAGGCATAAACGAGATCTACAAACACTAGTAAGCACTCATGAAGCCTGTAACATTGAGGGGACTATAATTGAAACAAAGTCTAATGCAAAATACCTCGGATTAGTTATATCTTCCGACCTTACTTGGTCATCTCATATCCAAATGATTTCCAAGAAAGTGTTTCGTCTAACCTACTACATTAAGAAACTCAGACTAACTGGAGTCCCCCAACCTCTGCTTTCACAATTTGTCAACTCTCGTATCCTACCTATTCTACTTTACTGCTTCCCGTTAGTCTTTCCTGGGTTACTGAAAAAGGACTATACCATCCTGAGAAGGATGTTGAAGGTAGTTAGTAGAAATAGCGGTGTAAAACTCAGTCAGCTCGTCACTACATTAGTGGATAAGCATCTGAATACATGTGAGAAATGGTCTAAAACCATACTCTCTGACCCCCAACACCCCCTCTATTCCAAACTCTCTCCTTGCATCTCATCAGGTAGAACCAGAAATCAGTACTAAATAATATATGCTCGTACAACCAAGTATAGGAACTCAACGATACCATATTTGGTCAACCCTTGTTTTAAGTGACAGAGACAATGTTAGGCGTGAAACTTATGACTTGCTCTGTTGTTAATAACATAATTTTGGCCCTTGTTATTTCCCCCTTATACTCTCTTATTTGTACTCTATAGTGAACAACCTTCTTAAACATACTTAGCTACTTAAAATTACTATCATTGGCTTACTTTTTTGTACTTTACTCTATTCCTTCTTTTGTATATCTACTAGGTCCGACTATATTATCACTATGATTATTACAAAATTGTCCTGTCATTAGCCATCATGTAATATTAGTTTTGTGGTTGTTTTTTTGTTCGGCACTATTTAACTGACAATCTTGTTTGTGAACGCCACTATCACCATCTTAAAATTTTGTATTATGCAGGATTACTCACACTACCACAACAAACACTGCATTAGTGCTGACAATAAAAATAAAAACACAACCTGAAATGTTTATTTTATGATTGTTTAGTGTAGTTCAATCAAATTAACTGATCATCTTGGCTATAAACATTCTTAAGAACATCTCATAATTTCTTGTATGATTATAGCTGTCACTGTTCACCACGCATACACATATCTATAGCTTCCGCTACCCAATACTGAAATATTTTTTTCATTATTGGTGTTAATCTTCCTTTCTACTTGGTACTTTTACTTGCATTTTTTGTTATTTCTGTGTTTCTTTTTTGGTTTTTTGTTGTTTTTTTATATTGATTTTTTCGTAATACTCCTGAAATTAGATGCAATACTGTAGATATATGCTGAAAATTTCACACAAGTACTGTTTCTGGAATAAAAGCGAAATTGTTATGTTATGTTTCTCTGTCTGTCTGTTTTCGACATAGAACTTTGCACGGATGTGCACCAGTTCAAGTCGCCACACTCCACTCCTTGTAGCACACAAAGCAACAGAAGAAAGTAGAAGAAATTCATAATAGAGACAGTAAACAAAGGTGTGAGACAAAAGAATAGTAATATCGAAGAACAAGACAATTTCATTGGAAATCATAAGTAACAAGGAGTGGATGCATCTGTGCCAGCCAGCCATTGAGAACGATGAGTTTGAGCCATATCACCGATTGTTCGCAGCCTTCATTGGTTTTTACCGTCTCGAGGACCCCAACCAGGAAGTCTACACCTTCCTACATGGCTTAAACTAACTGTTGTGGATTTCATTGACTGATGATGAAGCTATTTTTTTTACTTTGGCCGCCTCTAGCTCTTTTCCAGCCTGACCTTATGTCAGCTTACATTGCCCGTCGAGGTAGGCGATGATTAGGCATACGTAACACATGTCCCACATGTTCATATTCCTCACATTATCCGAACGATAATGTCACATCCCATTGTGTTTATTAATTTACACGTATATGTGTGGAGGGCGACACGTACATAGGGAGGACCCGTTGGTTTCTGCAGGTTAGATCTACTGAACACATTCCAAAGTGGCTGTAAAAACAACAAATAAAATCACCAGACACAATTGACCCCAGAAGTAGATGTCCAACATCATGTATAGCGAAGCACATTATAGAGACGGGTCGTCATATAAGATCGATTTCAACAATGCCTTTAAGCCGATATATAAAATAAAGTTGGGCCACATACTTAAATTCATTGAAGCCTTAGCCATAAAAAGACTTAAACCTGTCTGTCTTATGTGTCCAAGAGTTATTTGTTATCACCTTAAACCTTCCTTGGTAATCCAACTTAGAACCGAGGACCAATTGACTTCATAATATTTTCAACCCCGTCTTTGCTTTGTTTTTATGTTTCTCACCCACACCTTTTGCGTCTCCTTACCCATTATTTGTGATCTTGACCTGTAAACAATCTAGTCTGTATTTTAATGTCTTCTTGCCTTCTATAAAAGCTGTGTATGACAAGTACTCGTATGTGCGTGTGATCAGAATGTCCAAAATATGTTTCACAAATATACACGGCATTACAACTTTCAGGTAAACTACACGTCTTCTTATTGTGTTGTCGAAATTCATAAAGGGAACGAATTGCTTTAAAACACTCAAAGTTTAGGTTCAATTAGGACTTAAGTAGTCACTTAATGACATATGCAAGTAGATAGGGTGTGGGCTAAGTTTGTCAATTCTAGTTCAAAGATGAATCACGTGGGGCTAAATGACCAGACTCTAACAGGTGATCACAAATAGACGACTTTGCAGTTCTACGTTCACCTTGCATTAACCAAACCGGATAGTGTTCATCTACACGTTTTCAGAGATTACGCTTACAATGTCCAATATAGACAGCTCCACAAGAAATATACCCATTTACTCATAAGTATAAACACAGCAATTTTGTTTGCTCAGCAAAGAAATTTCTCCATTCAACGACTTCATTTTCAAGCCAAATGTACAGTCGTACTTATATTACACAAAAAGTTATTAAGTGGCACTAAATAATTACTTGAGTCAACATACATATATATAAGTGATAAGAATAACGATAATTACAATGTTATAAGGAGTAGAGTTGAAGTGGATAAATTACAAAATTATTAAAGATTGTTTTATAAGTGAATTCATAGCAAAAATATTTTTTTTAATGTCAAGTGTTGTCTAAAAATTTTAGAAATTAGGAGTACGATTACGATAAGAATAAAGTTGTGAAGTGAAATGGAAAGAATTCAAATGGTAAAATAAAATAAAATAAAAACTAGAAACAACATTAATTATTATGAGCAAGGTAAAGAAAGGGGTTTGATAAAACGTTTTTGAACACATAATTTAGGTTTCTGTTCAGTCTTTAGTTGGATTATGGTGACTAGCAGTGGAATCCAGTTCAGGACAACGGGAATTTCGTCCGTCCTATTTGGGACTCGCCAGCCAACTGGATGTACCTGCATTCCCCAGTGAGTCAGTGATGTTCCCACCACCACGGAGGCTCAAACCCAGTGGCCATAGTTTCAAACACCAGCAACCAAAGCGCTATCCACTAGACCACGTGGATGACGGGAGCCACCCCACTTCTTGTGGAAATGGTCACATTAATTATTTATTTGAATTTTAGATTTTCCCGTCGATTGATTGGACCGAAGTGCTCGGTCTCAGGTTGAAATGTCGGCTTCTTGTCAACCTGAGACCGAGCACTTCGGTCCAATCAATCAATCGACGAGAAAACCTGAAATTCAAGTAAATAATTTATCAATCTTTGTTTTGCTTTTTTTTGACCAGCACTTCTGAAGGAAAAAAAAGCAAAAAATTCAAGAAAATAACCTACTTGATAATACTGGATCTCTTCTCTCCATTTCACTGCCTGCTCTTCATGTTGACGCTTAAAGATGTATGCTTCTCTTGACGCGTTATCCAATTTCTCTCTGAGTGTTGTACATTCTCGTCTAGCCTTTTCTAAATCTTCAAAACAACCACTTTCTGCTTTGGCATGACTTTGAATCTGTTCCAATCGTTCTTTTAATTCAACATTTTCACTGAGTGAGAGAAATAAACACACAGATGATAAGTAGTAGTGGATCTTTTTCTCCACCTTTTTCTTTCTATGCATGCTTCGAATTCCAATAATTATATGAAATGATTACAGGATTTCATCATGAGCTGACGTCAGTTGGTTAGAAAACCATTGGAAAACCAACCAGGAAGTACTGTCAGACAGCTGTTTCCCCCGTCCTGGTTTGGGACTCTTCATCAGCATGCACCCACCGCCAATGTTCGAACCCAGGACCTTCTGGTTACGAGGCAAGCTAGAAACCATTGGAAAACCTGGGATTACTGGACCTTCGCCTTGTAACCAGAATGTCCCGGGTTCGAACATTGGCGGTGAATGAGTACTGATGAAGAGTCCCAAACTAGGACGGGGGAAACAACTATCTGGCAGTACTCCCAGGTTTTCCAGTGGTTTTCTAACCAACTGATGTCAGTTCATGATGAATCCTGTAACCAATCAAATCCATACAAACCAGCACTTTAAATTATGTAGTGAATAGGATAGTCAAATTTTGCTGTGCTGTTACCACAGAGAGTGGGGGGGTGGCTGACAAAAGCTGGGGATCTCCACAGCTATCTGTAGACTTCAAAAATTACTATATAAGATGTATGAAGAGTGAAGAATAGTATCAAGGTTAACAGACAACTCGAACTCGAACTAGCAGTGAATTTCCTACTGTGGTAAGAGCTGTCTGCTAGCCAAAAGTTGGTAGACGGCAATTTACGTCAACGCTTATGTCCCAAATATTCGTCATGTGAGAAGAACTAGAACAAGAACAAAGACTGACTGACTGACTCGACAACCAATCACAGAACACTTTGTTTGCGTAAGCGGATACAATTACCAGATAGCAGATAGATGATCTGACCTTCAGGAAACAGTCGCAAAGAGATGAAAGATTAACTAACGTTCTGTGAGAAACCACCACCAATCAGAAGTCTGTGTTTAATAATAATAATAATAATGTACATGAAAATCAATAAATATGTGTTGATTCCAATAATAAACGATCTGTTGACTGGCCTTTGTCTTCTGTCGTTGCACTGCAATAACACCATCCGTACAATATTATTCTTTTAAAGCTGTAACAGACGAGTAATTGAATAGCAGTTTGTCGACATAGGATTTGATTGAAGAAGCGTCGGATGTGGAGAAAAAACCTGAAATAAGTTCATGAAATCTTTGATAGTACGTTTGAGACACTTAGGGAGGTGTGGGTTGTATGGTTGAGCTCCTCTGGATTCTAGACACCAATTGACTGACAGATTAGTGGAGATATGACTCGAATCCGAGCTCAACAGCATTCACTCTTTGTAACCTCCTAAGTACCTGACAAAAGACTACTCATGAAGTTGGAAAGTCTTGGTATCAAAGGCAGATTATTAAACAAGTTCAGGGAATTCCTCATAGATAGATAGGAGGCAGAGGGTTAGGATCAACTCGAAACTTTCCTCTTGGACAGCAGTATGTAGCGGAGTGCCACAAAGCACGGTACTCGGACCTCTCCTATTTATTCTGTATATCAATGAGTTATCTCTGCTCACCGACTCCCCTATGGTCCTATACGCAGAAGGAGAGCTGAAAGGCAACAGTGATACATCCACGTTGCAAGAGGACCTCAACAAATTGTCGGAGTGGTCTGTTGAATGGATGCTCCCGATCAATGTGGCAAAATGTGCAACCATGTGCATTGGACAAGAAGGCACGAGCTCCTATAAACTAGAGGGAATAACACTCCCATCAGTTCAGACTCACTTGGACTTAGGTGTCATAGTTAGCCACGACTTAAAAACTACAGCACACTGTCGCACGGTGGCTGCACGTAGTTTCGGGTCCTTAAGGGAAATTCGCAGAGCCTTTACTAGAATCACCAGAGATATATTCACCTCCTTATATACATCTCTGGTGAGGTCAAGACTGGAAAATTGCATCCAGGTCGCCAGTCCTTGTCTAAAAGGGGACTCACACATTCTAGAAAGGAAGGTAACACATATGGTTCACGGCATGACTAACTTATCATACGAGGAAAGACTAGACAGTTTAAATCTCTTCTCCCTGTCAAACCGTAGTAGCCAGAAAGGAGATTTAATCACAATGTTTAAAATTTTAAATAATGACTACGGACCTCTCTTTTCCTTCCCACCAGGTCGGAACACCTTAGAGGACATAGCAGGAGAGTTCAAAGCCAAGAAGAAATCATATTGCTGTTTGAGTACTGGTTCTCACACCGAGTTATCAACTCTTGGAACCGACTGACTCCCAGAAGAAGAAGTGGTGGTGTCTGCAACCTCAACTGATTCGTTCAAGAAGGGTTCGAACAACCACAGAAATTTACTAGAAAAGGATTAACATAGGCTCCAAGCCTTCTATCCTCAACCAAAAAATCTGAATATGAATGTTTTCCCGTATGACTCTTCTTTCTCCAATACATTTCCGCACACTACAGTTTTTTTGGATGTCTTTTTCCCCTATCTTTGTGTAGTACACATATGGAGTTAATAATATTGTTATTTCCTTTAATTCCTAGAGGAACATAAGGCTTCAGCCTCAACGTCTCCATTGCGTTCGGTTCTCTGCTAAAGTTTTCACCTGGCTCCAAGTCTGCCCATATGTTTTCATCTCCTCCTCTTCACATCACCTCCTCCATGTCACCCTCACGCCGACGACCAACTCGCCACTTCCCTTTCGAGTTCAATTCGAGCAATAGCCTGTCGTGTGATGTCACTTGATGATTTCCTCAGGGTACGGGCAATTCAATCCACCTTCACTTCTTTCTGCTTATTTGTTGCACAATCGGTTCCTATTGGGTTCTGTCAGCTACTACACCCTCCACGTAAACCGTTATGACACTATATAAATACTCACACACGCACACGCATACACACATGCAAAGGGGAAGACAAATGATGAGAGTATAAATGAGAGGATTTCGACTAACTTACTTAGTGAGACTTTCCAACTCCTGTGCCTGATCCGACAGTTTGATCTCATTCTTGCTAATTTGAATCTAAGAAGAAATGAGAGAGAGAGAGGGAGAGTAATATTCAGGAGATACTAAGTTTAATCAATATGGTATATAAACAATTACCTAAATTTTCAAAACAATGGATACTGAACAAAGAATAAATACTCTTTTCGCTAAGCCCTTCATCATCATCATCAGGCTCTACAGTTATAGCCTCCGAAGCCTCAGGATCGACCGGGATGGGTGCATTGCGCTGCGGGTTGGCCACCCCCCACCTCCGTACACCTCTTCAAATGCTCCCATATGACCGGGCGTCTTACATAGCCTCTCCTCAAGAAGTCCTACTCACTGCCTTCACGTGGCGGAGGTGTTTTTCACCACTGAAGTGACAGGGCAAAAGCGGATGCCCGGCGCTCTTCACCGGGTTGACTGACTGTCCATTGGATGATAGACAGTCTAGGGGAGATGGCTCAACCCTGCCTGATTCCAAACCTCCAACGACTGGCGTATGAAGTTCACCGGAGCTCACCGGTAGGCAGACGTATGGATAAAGAGCTTATTGGATGGCCTGGTGCATGTCTGGCCCCATTCAAAAAGGCGTATGAACCGGACTCCGGTCACCGGTTGGCTGACAATGGATAGTGGACTCCCTACTCCACTCCTACTGCCTTGTAGGAGGTCACACTTGGTTGGTTGTGTAAAGGCTAGAGCTGCACTCTCAGATAAAAGGCCGAGCGATTCTGGGGACATCACTCGTACCTGATTCCCATGAAACTTCATGAACTCTCGTTGATACAACATCAACCAAATTCCAGTACTGTGGGTCCAACAACGTCGCCTTCGGTGGTTTGGCCATGCTCTGAGCCGACCAGATGACGATCTGGTCAAATCAGTCAAATCTAAATCCCTCGCCATTTCCATTTTATTTTGGCGATGTCGCATTGGGGGGGGGGTGGACAGCTGAAAACACATGGCTTGGTACAGTCAGTCAAGGCTGATGTGGAGTTACTGGGCTGGGACTACAAACCGTCTACGGACTCCGTCTGTGGAACAAGAATTGGATAAGCCTGTAGTGGCGAAACCTTGCATCAGATCGCCGTGCCTGGGCAGCGATGATTCGAGGTGTTTATGAAGCCGGCTCATCCTCCCGCAGGAGATAGCCGAAGTAAAGTAATAAGTCTACAGTTATATATCCATCAATTATACTGAATGAATGAATGAATCAGTGTTATGAACAACAACATTCATGTTGCTGTTTAAATAACATCGAATCAGTAATAATAATAATACCAATGCATTACTGTTCAATAGCATCAACAAAACAATAAACTGAATGCCAGTTGAATTAGGAAAGATAATATTACAAATTCATGAATTTATAGTCTCTACTGAAGGCTGGCCAGTCAGGTCAGTAGTAGTGGCTAGCTGGCTGGACTTGATTCTTCTCCACACACAGAGCACTGGTTGTTTGAGGCCAATTGTATAAGCCTCTGCTGTTTCGACCATTCGGTGATTCGATGATGATTGTGGAAATTTATATGGCACCCGGTAGATGATGATAGAGAAGGATTCTTCCACGTTGGTTATCTGGCTGGCTTGGTGGCCAGCCGGTGAGTTTGCATCAGACGGTCCAATATCGAACTGTTTGTTGGTGGTTTTCACTACACCTTTACTTAGCCATAATGGGAGATGTTCTCGAGCATGAGCAAGTCCAATCCCTACTACTGCCCTTACTGGCCTTCTTCAGTGGGTGGAGACTATAAATTCATGAATTTGTAATATTATCTTTCCTAATTTCTCTGTCTGATATTCAGTGTGTATTGTAATGTTGATGCTATTGAACTGTAATTCACTGGTATTATTATTGTTATTATTTACTCGATGTTATTTAAACAGCAACATTAATGTTGTTGTTCATAACGCTAATTCATTCATTCATTCACTATAATGGATGGATATATAACTGTAGAGCCTGATGATGATGATGATGATGAAGGGGTTATCAAAAAGAGTATTTATTCTTTGTTCAGTATCTATCCATCCTTTTGAAAATTACCTAAATGGCATTTTGAAAGCTATGTGATTTTCCTTAAATTTGAGTGTCTTTCAAACGAGAGAAAAATGTCATAATAGAAGTGGAGAAGAACAATACTTGGCTATTACACTAAGAGTCATATGTAATATGAGGGAATATTTAACTTCGGTGGTTGAGATACACACATTCATACTAACCGCTGAGGTTTGTTTGGAAAGGAAAGTAATCAGAAAATGCCTGCGAATATGTCGTTCATTAATCACTGATCATGCCAGTCAAATTATTGTTATATATTTATCAGTCTGTGTCAAACATTACCATCCAACTCACAGTGTAAGTCACAAGCTAAGAACCTTGATAACGGACCTTAGTCAATCCTGTTCTGATTAGCCTAAGGTTAAACAATTCGTCCATTGAGATTATTTCATGTCCACAAAGTAAAGTATATTCAGATTTGAGGAATAAAAACTTCGATTTACTTGGGGAGGACTCATCGATCTCTGCAAGTAACGACTGGCTGGTTTCACAGCATATTCCTAAATGGCTCCAAAAGCAAATGGTATTTTCAGAAACCATTAATGATGAGAAGAGACAAAGACCTAACTAGCTCCTCTATAGCGAAACATATTACAGAGGAGACAGCACATAAAATTGACGTTAACTAACACATCTTTGAAACGCCTATCTATAAAAGCGTGTTTGGGGGAGGGCGTATCCTAAAGTTTGTGGAAGCCATTAATGTGGACGCCGAAAAGTGTGTCTATGTTCTAGAATCTATCGAAGAGTGAAGATATGATCTATGCACGCTCTACCTGGTCTAAAGCCTCCTTGATTTTCCCTTGTCTGTTCCTCCGGAGTTCTGCTTAGTCTATGCATGATTACTGAGCCTAGGATTTTAGAGACTATGTTCGTTAGGCTGATTCCCCTATGATTATCACACGAGGACTTGTTTCCCTTCTTGAATATCGGCATAATAAGTGACTTACCCCAGTCTGATGGCACTGTCTCTGATTCCCAGACGTTGCCTAGTACCTCAGTTAATCTACAAACTAGTATGTCACCCCCATATTTAAACACCTCCGGAATAATTCCGTCTGGTCCTGCCGCTTTGCCTCGTTTCAAGTTACTGATAGCTTCTGTGACCTCACTTACAGACGGCGGACCAGTGTCTATATCCCATTCGGGTGTGTTCTGGATGTCGGGGAGGTTCAGTGTGGCTGTAGGCAAGTTAAATTGTCCCTCAAAGTGTTCTTTCCAGCGTTCAAGGCGTCTATCCTGAGAGCTAATTAAGGAGCCATTTTTCTCAGAAATAGTCTCACTTATGATTTGCCTTCTCCCACCCGTTTCTCTGATGAGTCGAAAGAGTTGCCTAGTGTTACCTATGTATCCGACCTGACAATCATTGCAGGCAGGGTATTAGATCAACTAAATTGTTTTGTCGGTTAAAGGCTCCACAGGATTGATCCTTTTCTTTAAACCGACAAAGCTTGTTTCTTATTGAGTTTGTGGTTTGTTTGTATTCCAGCCACTTTTATTGATGTCTGGCCTTGTTAACAATTCTGTGTAAGGCGGTTGTTACCGAGGTTCCTTCTTTGTATGGAATTACTACTGATGATTTAGATCCCTTATTGTTGGTATTGTCATGCACAGATTTGACATGCATATCGTCATTAATATTATTGTTAGTATTATTATTATCACCATCATTGATATCATTATTTATTTTATTTTTATTTTTACACTGTGTGATACAATTAATAAACAAACTAATATGGAATAACTTGCTCTACCACTACAGTACTTACTTTTACTCTACCTCTGCTATCTACTGCGGGAGGATGAGCCGGCTTCATAAACATCTCGAATCATCACTGCCCAGGCACGGCGATCTGATGCAAGGTTTCGTCACTACAGGCTTATCCAATTCTTGTTCCACAGACGGAGTCCGTAGACGGTTTGTAGCCCCAGCCCAGTAACTCCACATCAGCCTTGACTGACTGTACCAAGCCATGTGTTTTCAGCTGTCCACCCCCCCCTCCCATGCGACATCACCAAGATAAAATGGAAATGGCGAGGAGGGATTTAGATTTGACTGATTTGACCAGATCGTCATCTGGTCGGCTCAGAACATGGCCAAACCACCGAAGGCGACGTTGTTGGACCTACAGTACTGGAATTTGGTTTATGTTGTAGCAACGAGAGTTCATGAAGTCTCATGGGAATCAGGTACGAGTGATGTCCCCCGAAATCGCTCGGCCTCTTGTTTCAGAGTGCAGCTCTAGCCTTTACACAACCAACCAAGTGCGACATCCTACAAGGCAGTAGTAGTGGAGTAGGGAGTCCACTATCCATTGTCAGCCAACCGGTGACCGGAGTCCGGTTCATACGCCTTTTTGAATGGGGCCAGACATGCACCAGGTCATCCAATAAGCCCTTTGTCCATACGTCTGCCTACCGGTGAGCTCCGGTGAGCTTCATACGCCAGTCGTTGGAGGTTTGGAATCAGGCAGGGTTGAGCCATCTCCCCTAGACTGTCTATCATCCAATGGACAGTCAGTCAACCCGGTGAAGAGCGCCGGGCATCCGCTTTTGCCCTGTCACTTCAGTGGTGAAAAACACCTCCGCCACGTGAAGGCAGTGAGTAGGACTTCTTGAGGAGAGGCTATGTAAGACGCCCGGTCATATATGGGAGCATTTGAAGAGGTGTACGGAGGTGGGGGGTGGCCAACCCGCAGCGCAATGTACCCACCCCGGACCATCCTGAGGCACTACAGTGCCCAAGTTTTACACATATATATATATGCATATATATATTAATCAACATTAACAACGTAATTTTATATCTGAACACAAATTTGAAATAACACAGTTTTATGTTACCTTGAGAATTTCCAACTGCTCATCTTGACTATCGATTAATTTCGCTTGTTTTGTACAATTCGCTGGTGGATTTATAAAGCATAATCACATAGACATGTATAAGCAGTGAACATATTATTCAATTTTAGAAAAAGAAAGAATGTATATATTCAGTGGAAAAAAAACAATAATCGAACATACAGATATTCAAACTAACTACGGTGTAGAAGACATACAGATCCCCCCCCCCACTCCCTGTAACAATAGAAGCCAAGAATTAGGCAACAGATCGTTTATCAAGGAAATCAACGGATGTTTATTGATTTTCATGTACATTATTATTATTATTGATTATTGTTCGAAGACAAACACAGCCGTCTGATTGGTTGTTTCATCTTTTTGTGGCTGTTTCTTGAAGGTCAGATTATCTATCATCTGCTATCTGGTAATTGTATCCGCCTACGCAAACAAATTGTTCTGTGATTGGTTGTTGAGTCAGTCAGTCAGTCAGTCAGTCTTTGTTCTTGTTTGGGACGTAAACATGAACGTAAATTACTGTCTACCCATTCGGCTGGTTAGCAGACAGCTCTCACACCACGCCCCACTTTTTGTTTAAATGGCTTGGTAGAGTAAGACTGAGTGTTGGTGGATATCAGTCTTTTCCTCAAAATGCTTTCATCATCAACACTGTCAGAATAAAACCTATTCACTACCTTCATGCCTGTGGGATTCTTTTAAATAAGTGAACGCATGAGTACGAATCCTTGATGACCAGTAAAAGATTAGTGGATTAGTGAAGTGACCACACCCTGAGGAGTTGGAAAGCACTGATACCCCCCGAAAAATATGTTGTATATGAACAACCAGATCTGAAAGCAACAAGTGAAACATATATGGACGCTTTTTGTCACCGATGGCCAGAGGAATTCAGCTATCAACAATGTTGGTCTGCTGTCTTGTTGAACAGACTTCAAGCCAAAAGCTCAGGGACAACCACAGGCTTCGGCCTGGGCGTCCAACAGTTATCTGTCTTAACACATAGGTGAACTATTATAACATAAATAAGAGAGAATATAAATCATCTACTGTTATATACCATATAAGGAGGGACACATCTGAGACACTCCCTACGGAGAATTCTCAATAGCAAAGCAGGAATTAGGGCTAGTGGTGGCATTTAAACCTTTGTTTGCTGACCTCTATAAGTCAAAAATGTACAATGACATTTTTATTTAAAAAGACATTCAAAAAAAAGAGAGATGAATTTTTTTTTCAGTATACTCCAAAGTTATTCTTACCAAACTGAGTGCCTAATGCCTCTTCTTTAATCTCCAGATCAGTACGCAATCGATGGACTTCAGCATTCAATTGGTCTACCTGCTTTCTGTGCGTAGGTGTTCAGATTAGAAAAGAAAAGATAAAATAACAGGTTGAAAAAAATGAAGCAAAAGGAAGTGTTCAGATTTGCAGTATAAAAATGATATCATTCTTTTTCACAGGTTCTCATAAGCTGCAAACTACCTGAAATTACAATGATTAATAATAATAAAAATAAAGAGATACTTCCCTGCAGCCAATCTGGTGACACTATACAGCAAGCACTACATGCTCTATAAGCCAATCGAAACTGGATAAGTACCCTGCTGATGCTACCTCCAACTGCATATATAAATTTACGTGTACCTGCGGTAGCAAGTACATTGGAAGGACAGATAGAAGACAGGGCTTTTCTATCCGCTGTTTTCAAAGCATATTCCGAGAAACTTATGCTTAAAAGGAAGCAGATATTTACAAAGTGCAATAACCAGAACCATATCCACCCTGTAGATGCGGTTCAGTTTGTCGAGATTTCGAAATCCTTCAAAATATTAAACATAAAAACGACTGAGAATTTTGATGTGGTTTTGTTCTCTGAGAGCTGGATGGTTAGTTTGCGAAGCTTTCATCACCCTACTGGGTGACATCTTCCTTCAGCGCATACTTCAATTCGAATTGAAGTGACCTTTTAGATTTCTCCACGAGTTTATTAATCATTCCTCCTGGTCACCTTGGACGTGATTGGTTGTTCATGTGTGTTTTCACATCTTCTAGGTCACTTGTATTGGTACTGACTGTTTCTTTGACTTGAGCTTTGACCCTTTGTGTGTGAAGTTTCTTTTTTATTGGTTGATAAATTTTGTCTATCTCGATGTGTCTATTGATTGTTAATGATTCACTTGAATGCCAGCCAAGCTTCTAAAAATTCTCTAGCATTCTTGTTATTTCCTCTGCCTAATATTTGAACATTGTCCCAGTCGAATTGATGTCCGTGGTTGTCTGTGTGAAGTGAAATGAGGGAGTGGATATCATGTCTTTTGACGGCTAGCTTATGTTCGTGGATACGAAGACGAAGAGCAGGGACGTCCACTTTGGCCGATGTAGTGTTTTTCGCAGTTGTTACAGTTTATTTTGTAGACAACTACGGACATCAATTCGACTGGGATAACGTTCAAATATTAGACAGATGAAACAACAAGAATGCTAGAGAATTTTTAGAAGCCTACCTGGTAGGTATTCCAGTGAACCATCAATCAATAGACACATCGAGATAGACAAAATTTATCAACCAATAAAAAAGAAACTTCACACACAAAGGGTCAAAGCTCAAGTCAAAGAAACAGTCAGTACCAATACAAGTGACCTAGAAGATGTGAAAACACACATGAACAACCAATCACGTCCAAGGTGACCAGGAGGAATGATTAATAAACTCGTGGAGAAATCTAAAAGGTCACTTCAATTCGAATTGAAGTATGCGCTGAAGGAAGATGTCACCCAGTAGGGTGATGAAAGCTTCGCAAACTAACCATCCAGCTCTCAGAGAACAAAACCACATTAAAATCATCCACCTGAGCTACAAATCTTCTCTATCATATCTACGACTGAGAATCTACTACGATTTACTGCTGAAGCAATTACAGCAGTCAAACGTCACAAGCCAAAACTAATGCACACAGACAAAGAGAGTGTAGTCAATCTCTCTCACTGCCTCCAAAGCCTCAGGATGGTCGGGGGTGGGTGTCTTGCGCTGCGGGTTGGCCGCCCCGCACCTCCGTACACCTCTACAAATGCTCCCATATGACCGGGCGTCTTACATAGCCTCTCCTCAGGAAGTCCTACTCACTGCCTTCACGTGGCGGAGGTGTTTTTCACCACTGAAGTGACAGGGCAAAAGCGGATGCCCGGCGCTCTTCACCGGGTTGACTGACTGTCCATTGGATGATAGACAGTCTAGAGGGGAGATGCCTAACCCTGCCTGATTCCAAACCTCCAACGACTGGCGTATGAAGCTCACCGGAGGTCACCGGTAGGCAGACGAATGGACAAAGGGCTTATTGGATGGCCTGGTGCATGTCTGGCCCTATTCAAAAAGGCGTATGAAGCGGACTCCGGTTGGCTGACAATGGATAGTGGACTCCCTACTCCACTACTACTGCCTTGTAGGATGTCACACTTGGTTGGTTGTGTAAAGGCTAGAGCTGCACTCTCAGATAAAAGGCCGAGCGATTCTGGGGACATCACTCGTACCCAATTCCAATGAAACTTCATGGTTCATGAAGCCGGCTCATCCTCCCGTAGGAGATAGCCGAAGTAAAGTAAAAGTAAGTAATCTCTCTCACTCGCTCCTTTGGTAATCATATCACTTCCATTACACTGATTAGTCATACACACACTAGTGGGCTCAACTCACTGAGCAAGTCTTCAAAATGATGAACTTTGACCTTCTTGAGTTGCCATATTGACGTACAAGCTAACACTGTTTTATTAGATTTTTCTGTTTTCTGTCTTCTCCCACTCCCCCGCGCCCTTTTTTTCATAGTTTGATAGTATATAAATTAATGGTAACTTAAACGGCAAAGTTCAACAAGAGCATCCCAAGGGATGCGAACACACGAGTGACCTTCAGCTTGCCAATCGTAAAAAGGAGGCAATTTTGCACAAAAATGACGTATATTCACAAGAAAATGCATGAAAACACATTAAACAGATTATCTTTCTCTGACATGACTTAAAAATACGTCCCAATTATGATGAAAAGCATCAGTTGCTAAGTTGGACTAGTTTCTATAGATGTATTCACCAAAGTGACTGAAGATTGGCTGTTTTGTGAATCGCACATCTCTCTTCTCTTGCTGTGTAGTCCTCTCCAAATCCCTCGGTTAAGTTACTATGGTTTCAGTAAGAGCATTGATGACTGCATACAAGGAAAATGAGGATAATAAAACAAATTGAAATAAACGACATTAACTATTAATCTATCCCTAATTGCAACCCTAACCTTAATCCTAACCCTAACGACAATCCTTATCCAGCCGTAAACCTAACCGTAATCCCAATTATGACCGTAACCCTAACCCTAACCCCAATATTCGCCTTAACCCTAATACTAACCTTAACGAGATGTTAACACATTGTCCAAACAGTAATTAAAAGCGTTATCTGGGTGAAATTTGCTCCTTATTCGATGAATATAGGGTTGATATTTCAGCTATGATCAGATGACAGATGCCGTTAGCCAACGACTAGCATGCGTTCAAGGTCACTGAAGCGTTCGCACTCCTGGGACGCTATTCTTGTACTTCGCCACTTAAACTATAAATTGTAATACTCATATTCCGGATGCGTTCACCTTATAATGTTTTCTCTATTACCTGTCAAACATTGAAGTATGAAATGTTATTATTATTTATAACCATTGTAATTTCAGGTAGTGGTTTTCAGTTAGCTGATGAGGGAAACCTGTGAAATAGAATGATGATGTCATCATTTTATACTGCAAATCTTGTCTTTCTTTCGCTATCAAAATTTATCAAGGGAACCAAATGTATGGAAATGAAGTGTATAGGTAAGCTAAACTGTTTCATTAATCATATTTGCTGGATAATGAATTGGCGTCAAGTTGGAGAACCATTAAAAGTCATGGAATACTAAATACAGAAAGAGAGAGCGAGAGTTTTAAACGTTACTGGTATTTAAGTATTGGTTTGTAGGGATTTGGTTGATTGGTTACATGATTTCATCATGAGCTGACATTAGTTAGAGAGTACTATTGGAAAACCTGGGAGTACTGGACTGCTGTTTCGTCCTAGTTTGTGACTCTTCAGCGGTACGCACCCACTGATGCTCACTGGAGACTGGACTTATTCAGGTAGGTAGTCACCTGAGGTTCCAGTGGGAAGTCATGACCAATAGAGTGCAGCAGGTCGGGTGTGAGGATAAATACTCGCCGAAGACATTGGCTAGCGGTTGCGCTATGTCGTGAATTGGCAGTAGTTAGAATTCATGGACTGGCCACTGGATCAGGTCCCAGTGTCTGCTCAGTGGTCTACGAGGTAGCTGATCCTGTAACCAGAAGGTCCTGGTTTCGAATCCCGGAGGATGCGTACTACTGAAGAGTCCCAAACTAGGACGAGGGAAACAGCTGTCCAGTACTCCCAGGGTTTCCAATGTCAGCTCATGATGAAATCGTGTTACTCGTATTTATTTATTGATTATTCCCTCAACACCCGCCTGTTTAAACCACGGAATATACACAAATTTGATCCCATAGGGAATAATACAAAAAGACAGTTGCAGCGAGGAAGAAAAACTTTTTTTAAAGTGATCAAATCAACTGAAACAAAAATGTGCTCATTCACAGACTGTTCCAAAGAAAACCATTCATGTGAGTTCTTACTGTGTATATAAGCGAAAAAATTGAGCTGGCACTGTGGTGCGGTAGAGTATAACTACACCATTATGGATAAGATTTTATTTTGATAAACTGTCACACACACAGTGTAGTGTAGTGTTTGTTATACAGTAAGTAATATTAACTGATCCGACCACACGCCATTTCGAGCACAATTTATTATTATTCCCACTCATAATCATCACATCAAGTCACTCACTCACTCACACAACTTTCTTGTTTCCTTCATTTATATACACATGAGTGGAATTCATGATTAGACATTTGAACACAAATCAACCAATATGGGATAATGTTCATTCAGAAATAATCATGATAATATGAGTGTTATGAGTGATCAGTTACAACAATCACATGGGAAATAAGACGAGTGTTTTTGTTTTATAGTCAAAATAAGTGAGTAACTTGTTAGAATGTTGTGATGTACGTGAATTGAATGAAATAGAATACAATTTGAGATTATTTATTATCCTCCTGTGATTTCACTGACTGACTGGTGGTAATAATATCTTCCATGCATATCTGTGGTATTTGCATTGAGTCATTTCTGTTGCATGTGTTGTGTTGCGTTGGGTGTAGACTCGATGAACCAGCCAGGATTCAGTAATCAACCTCAGTCTCGCATAGATTACTTTTTAGTATTTTAACCCTCTCCCACCATGATATTGTGCGATTGTATGTTAATGCATGCATGTAATGCAATGTAGTGGTGGTCTTTTTTTCTAAATTACTCATCTTCTCGGGTGGGGTCAACCATTCTTACCTTAGCCATTAAATTCTTATGTTCCGACAATCTGTTTACCCCCGATCTACTAGTTTGACCTAATTCACAGTCATTACAGGATATTTTGTAAATTATATTCTTTTGTTTAATCGGGTCCACCGACAGGGTGTTTTAGCCTAAAGAGCTTGTCCTACCTGAGTGAGTTTGTAGGTAAGAATGCCACCCTAATTCCTGCTTTATTGAGGATCCTACGTAGGAAGTGTCTCAGATGTCTCCTCCCTCCTTATATGGTATAACAGTGGAGGACTTATATTCTCTCTTATTTATGTTATCATTACTAGTTTCTGCATTATTTTTCTTTTTCTTTTTGCCTTTTCTGATCTTCCTGATGAATTTTATAGGATAGTAAGTGATATGTATCCATATATATATATATATATATATATATATATATATATATATATATATGTATGGTGGTCTCTCTTTCTGTTGCTCTCTTAGTCTGTGACCATTTCACTTTGATGAACCTGTCTCCTTTAACAATGTATATTCCCCTGATAGTATATATAATATGTGTGTTTGTTGACAGTCTGATCTTGGTGATATATATATCCACATAATATGTGTGGTTGTTGACATGTCTGCTATATTTCGCTATGTATATATGGATCGATATTCCATTATAAATAGCCAATCATGTTAAGACTGTCTATTGATTTGTTCACACACTTGTTTGGACATCCATATATATTTTGCTCCCACACTCTTGTATGATATATTTGATTCTGCTTGTGTTTGGAATATAGAAGTATCATCGCAAACCTAGTGGTCTTCTGATTTCCGTCTTTCTTGCGTCAGGACTATTAAATTCTCGACCAGTACATAACAATAATTTAGCGACGAGTACATAACAGTAAGTTATTTGACACCAACACTCTCTTCTTCTATCTGTTTTATTTCATCATTAAGGTGTTTTCTTGTGCTGCTTAGTGCTACTGCTCTGTTGGTTAGAAACTTGACTTCACGAAGCCTGCCTTCACAGACAGATAACGGATGAGGTGATGAACTGAAGTCTATATTTTATTTTTATTTATTTATTACAGCTTGATTCCACATTGTATTTTTGGTACAAGTATGAAATTTTCAGCATGGATATCGGTAGCCCAAATTTTTTTGCAGGCCGACCATAGATATCAGGTGTGCTTTGTCGGCAGATGATCGAACCTCAGACCATGTACATGGTCAGCAAGAGTCCTAAGCGCACTGTGCCACCGACGCACAGAATGCGTTGGCTTTTTTTTATAAACACTAGAGTACCGTTTACCATCTTCTATACGATTTAACGTAGAATCTATGTATAATGAGAACAAGTGCCTATCCCACCTAACGGATGGATAGTCAAAAATCAGGAAAAAAAGAAAAGAAAGAAAGAAATTTTTGTTATCTAATATACACCCGAAATGTATTACTTACAATAGTGATGCTTCAGTCTGCTTATATTCTTTCTGTTCTGAACGTAACTTTTTAATTAAATTGTTCGCTTTCAATTGATCCGCTGCTAATTTATGGCCTTCTTTTAACAGATTTTCAATCTCTTCATTTTTCTCCACAATCAGACGATCCAATTCCGTGAGACGCTTTCTATTGATATTGACAGGAAAACAAAAAACAAAATCTTTTTGAAAACATGCATTGAAGAATGAATACACTCAATAGAGGGGAGAAAGGGAGAGAGTTAATCAGGGTACTATGATGAGGAAATCTGTATATCTTGCGTCACACGATAACATATCTTCAAATATTAGCTTTGTAAGGATTTGTTTGATTTGTTGGGGAGGATTTCCTCATACTTACTTCACTTTACTGTACTTCGGCTATCTCCTGCGGGAGGATGAGCCGGCTTCATCAACATCTCGAATCATCGCTGCCCAGGCACGGCGATCTGATGCAAGATTTCGCCACGACAGGCTTATCCAATTCTTGCCCCACAGACGGAGTCCGTAGACGGTTTGTAGCCCCAGCCCAGTAACTCCACATCAGCCTTGACTGACTGTACCAAGCCATGTGTTTTCAGCGGTCCACCCCCCCCCTCCATGCGACATCACCAAGATGGAAATGGAAATGGCAAGGAGGGATTTAGATTTGACTGATTTGACCAGATCGTCATCTGGTCGGCCCGGCCCAGAACATGGCCAAACCACCGAAGGCGACGTTGTTCGACCAGTACTGGAATTTGGTTTATGTTGTAGCAACGAGAGTTCATGAAGTTTCATGGGAATTAGGTACGAGTGATGTCCCCAGAATCGCTCGGCCTTTTGTTTCAGAGTGCAGCTCTAGCCTTTACACAACCAACCAAGTGTGACATCCTACAAGGCAGTAGGAGTGGAGTAGGGAGTCCACTATCCATTGTCAGCCAACCGGTGACCGGAGTCCGGTTCATACGCCTTTTCGAATGGGGCCAGACATGCACCAGGTCATCCAATAAGCCCTTTGTCCATACGTCTGCCTACCGGTGAGCTCCGGTGAGCTTCATACGCCAGTCGTTGGAGGTTTGGAATCAGGCAGGGTTGAGCCATCTCCCCTAGACTGTCTGTCATCCAATGGACAGTCAGTCAACCCGGTGAAGAGCGCCGGGCATCCGCTTTTGCCCTGTCACTTCAGTGGTGAAAAACACCTCCGCCACGTGAAGGTAGTGAGTAGGACTTCTTCAGGATTTCCTCATGAGCTGACATCAGTTAGAGAATCACTGGAAAACCTGTTGTAGTGAGAGCTATCTGCTGTCTAGCCAAATTGGTAAACAGTAGTTGTCGTAAATGTTCCAAATGTCGCAGATATTGATCATGAGAAAAACAAGAACAAAGACTGGCTGACTGACTGACTCAACAACCAATCACAGAACACCTTGTCTGCGTAGGCGGATACAATTACAAACAGTCACAAAGAGAAACAACCAATCAGAAGACTGTGTTTGTCTTCTAACAATAATCTATAATAATGATGTACATGAAAATCTATAAATATGTGTTGATTTCGTAAATAAACGATCTGCTATCTGGCCTTTGTCTTCTGTTGTTTTACTGGGAGTACTGGACAGCCGAGTATTTCGCCGTAGTTTGGGACTCTTCATCAGTATATACACATGGGAAACTTGGGCACTGTGGTAGTATACTGTGTATACTGGAAAAATCACACACGGAGTGAAATAGCCTACTTTAGATTCATCATATACATATATGCTATGGATAGTAGAATAATTTTTAAAATGTTCGGTTCGAGACAGGCGTTGGATTACTGGCTATTGCAATTAATCATCAATCGATTCAACAATAAGGTCTAGTGATGTAGATTTCACTAAGAAATATATATGGGGTGGGGGGGTGGAGGGAAACCTCAGTCAAACATACCATTCATTACACGTGGTTACATACAACTACTTATGCAGTAGGATGAAGTGAGAGAGAGATTGATAACTAACAGAAGACGTTCAGCGAAGAGACTCTTTTCGACAGCGAATTCATTCGCATTGCTGTACAATCGCATTTATATATAATTACTTGTGTGTTTGTGTGTGTACATGAGGTTTGTCAACGATCAGGTAATACAAGAATGATCTAATATAGAAACAAGGTTAATCGGGCAGCAACTAAAGTAATATTGAGTTAGTAAGTTAGATGACGTAATATGAATGACTGAAAATTGAGTGTTGGTCAAGTTAGTAACAGTGGGGTAATGAGGTGTAGAAATTGAATCGGGTGGGGGCAGAGAACAAGAAGGTTGAAAATGGAAAAATATTACAATTGAAAAGACAAAATAATACTAATGAAGTGACAGAAGAGAAAAAATAGATAAGGTAGAATTTACCTGTCAGGTAATAAGACAGATTACGTTCATTGCGAGTGTGTGGTGATTGAACGAACTTCTTTTGTATGCAGACTTCGGTAAGTTGGTAAGACCATGTTATTAGATCATTCTTGTACTACCTGATCAATTATTTAAATTTCACAAACACAAATAATTATGTATATAAATGCGATTGTACAGCTAGCTAGCTAGTTATGTGAATGAATTCGCTGTCGAAAAAAAGAGTCTTTTCGAGTGAACGTCTTCTCGCTTTCATGCGACTCAATGAGGATTCCTAAGATTGATAACTGAAGCTTTGTCAACTGAGAATACGTGTGATGAAGAAGAAGAATAGGAACCGTAGAAATAAAAATCTAATTTTGAAGTTACGTTATTACATTTGAACTGATAGTATTATGAATAGTAAATTGTGTTCGAAGCTTCGTCATAATCCAATAAAAAAAATGATTATGGAATGAAATAAAGCCCCTTTAGGAATTAAAAGTAACACAGCTTACAAAAGTGATTACATCTAAAACACAAAATAATTGAGGCAGAAAAGAATATCCCCTTTTCGACAAATTCCTCCTCCTCTTCTCGCTATACAATTATGTCGATATATGCGTGTTTATATACATAGAATATTCTAGATTAGTAGTAGTCAATAACAATATCGGCGTGTATTTTAATAATAATATCGATTTGTAAAGTAAGATCACAATGGAATCACCACCACAGAACATTAAGGATGCTTAAATAATAATAATAATAATAATAATAATAATAATAAAGATATAGTAGGAAATAGAATATCAACTAAGATTAGGAAAATTCCACAAAAATTGAGGATTATTCAAACCTGGATGGATGGCCAAGCGGGTAGTTAAGGATAATGTCTGAACCAACCAACTTCTTTTGGATACACAAATAAGGTCTCTTAATCTGGATCCCAACGGCCAGCCAGCCTCAGGAATATTTAGTAGTAGAACTCTTCAAGCGAAATTGAGATTCGTTGGTATGCAGTAAATTACCCTGAAAGCATTGTTAACGTCAATCTTGCGTTCTGTATCTGTGGAGCCAGTTACATAGGCTGTACAATTAGACGTGTTTCTCGTCAAATTTACGAACATCACCCTGTATGCACAGTGGTTGGTTGGTTGGTTAAGTAACGGACAAACAAAATCTATTCACATAGCGCTATTCTATCTATCTCACTCATCTTGTGGATACACAACACAACACAAGACTGATTGATGTTAACCAGGTGGCTTTCAGGGTCATTTACCGTATACCAACCAACAAATCTCAATTTCGCCTTAAGACTAGTTCGACTACTAAATATTCCTGAAGCTATCTGGGTGGCCATTGGGATCCAAATTAAGAGACCTTATTTAAGTGTTGGTTTGTAGGGATTTGACTGGTTTCACGATTTCATCATGAGCTGACATAAGTTAGAGAACCGTTGGAAAGCCTGGGAGTACTGGATAGCTGTTTCGTCCTAGTTTGGGACTCTTCATCAGTACGCACCCACCGGGATTCGAACCCAGGACCTTCCGGTTACAAGGCGAGCTCGTATACCATTAGGCCACTGGGACCCGATCCTAGAGACCTTATTTGTGCATCCAAAAGAAGTTGGTTGGTTCAGACATTATCCTTAACTACCCGCTTGGCCATCCATCCAGGTTTGAATAATCCTCAATTTTTGTGGAATTTTCCTAATCTTAGTTGATATTCTATTTCCCACTATATCTTTATTATTATTATTTAAGCATCTTTAATGATCTGTGGTGGTGATTCCATTGTGATCTTACTTTACAAATCGATATTATTTAAAAAGCACGCCGATATTGTTATTGGCTACTGCTAATCTAGAATATTATGTGTATATAAACATGCATGCATATATCGACATAATTGTATAGCGAGAAGAGGAGGAGGAATTTGTCGAAAAGGGGATATCCTTTGCCAGCTGGCTGAATTATATTTTGTGTGTTTTATAGATGAATGTGTGAATGAATATTTTCGCTATATCTAAAACAGCTATGAATCCTACTCTTTAAATTGAAATAAAATATATACAATTAAATAGCGTTATATAAATTTTTGATTTTTTGTTTTTTATAATTGATTTACAGCTTGATTCCACACTGTATACTTTTGGTACAAGTATGGAATTTTCAGCATGGATATCGGTAGGCCAAATTTTTTTGCAGGCTGACCATAGATATCAGGTGTGCGTCAGTGGCAGGGACTCGAACCTCGGACCATGTGCATAGTCGGCGAGAGTTCTAACCGCACTGTGCCACCGACGCTATCAAAAGGGAATCGGTCTGTCTTGTCTTCTTCTTCGGGTTAACATTAATTAAAAGATATGCGAACACATTTTCAGACTAAGCAATCACGCTTATCTTCTATGTGATCCCTTTGCATTTCTTAGTAGAAGACACACACACGGGGTGGGTTTCAAGCTTGAGCTCTGAAGTTTCACAGGTGGTGGGTCTGTCTGTCTGTCTGGATTCAACATAGAACTTGGAACCGAAGTGCAGCAGTTCGAGTGGTGGGTGTGTGGTATTGTGTCTTTTTTTATCTGATAGAGTTGTTAGCCTCACGCCTAACCTTCCGCTTCAACGGGCCTCCAGTGGCTCAATGGTCTACGAGCTCGCCTTGTAACCAGAATGCCCTGGGTTCGAACCCCGGCGGGTGCGTACAGCTCATGATTAAATCCTCCATATATGTTTGTGCGTCGATGGCACAGTGCGGTTAGGACTCTCGCCAACCATGCATATGGTCCAGGGTTCGAGCCCACGCCGACAAAGCACACTTGATATCTATGGTCGGCCTGCAAAAAAATTTGGGCTACCGATATCCATGCTGAAAATTTCATACTTGTACCAAAAATATACAGTGTGGAATCAAGCTGTAATCAAAAATAAAAAAAATAAAGTAAATACACTATTGGCTAGGAGAGGTTAAGGTGTGAGCGTCCATCGTGATTTGACCAAAGTGAACCAACGACGTACACCCACCCAATGACAACACTATAAAAAAAAGTAATCCATTAAGAGGGAAAAAAGGAATAATAATTATGACGCTGTCTAAAATTGTAAAGAAAGCAGAGAGGGTAAAAAGAATATCCGAGCGATGCTGGGGACATCACTCGTACCTAATTCCCATGAAACTTCATGAACTCTCGTTGCTACAACATCAACCAACATCAACCAGTACTGGTCGAACAACGTCGCCTTCGGTGGTTTGGCCATGTTCTGGGCGGGGCCGACCAGATGACGATCCGGTCAAATCAGTTCTAAATCCCTCCTCGCCATTTCCATCTTGGCGATGTCGCAGTGGGGGGTGTACAGCTGAAATCACATGGCTTGGTACAGTCAGTCAAGGGTGATATGGAGTTACTGGGCTGGGGCTACAAACCGTCTACAGACTCCGTCTGTGGAACAAGAATTGGATAACCCTGTCGTGGAAAAACCTTGCATCAGATCGCCGCGCCTGGGTGGCGATGATTCGAGATGTTCATGAAGCCGTAAGAGATAGCCGAAGTAAAGTTAACTAAGTAAAAAGAATATACACCCACCTTCCATTATACTAGGGGTTATTTGTGGAGGAGTACGAACGACTGAGCAATAGAATGTAGAAAAACACATTGAAAAAAACATTCTTGACTACATAAAAACCTCTTTGATAATATATATATATAGTGAAAAAAGTTACACTATCAGCTCATTAGATTATTATACAAATACACAACTTACAAATTATTATCTACAAAAGGTTTATCATCACCGACAGCACGTGTAATCACTGGAACTTTTGGTTTCACTGACAATGCATTTCGTTTCAATTGATCTCTTTCACGACATACAATTTGTAGTCGACTTTCTGTTTCTGCTAAACGCTGTGAAAACTCTGAGGTAAGTGTGGATACATCTGTTGACCCAGAGCCTTGTGTATTCAGGGTATTTTTCAATTGTCTACAGACAGAGAAAAAGACAAAATATTAAGCAAGCTAAGCAATCTAATCAATAATTGAATAACCTCTGCAGAATTCTCACTAGGTAACACAGACAAACAACTTTATCGACAGATTGTAAAGCTGGCTGGAAACAAAAGAAACGATACGCTACCTTAACAGCAATACTAATAATATATTAATAATAATTTTTCCTTCACGTTCCCAGTGGAACATAGGGCTTCAAGCTGGTGGCTTGAAGTTTCTGTAGCAGTGTTAATTTTTACAGGACATATACCCCCAAGCCAACCTACCAAAACAAAAGCCACCAAGGAAAGCACAAAGAAAATCGCCTTACCATATATAAAGGATGTCTCAGAAATCAATACAAGACTCTTCAGACCTTTAGGAATTGACGTCGTACACAAACCAACAAAGTCGCTGCACTCAATTCTATGTCAACTAAAAGACTCAACAGCGAAAGAAGACAAAACCAACATCATCTAGAAAATAAACAGTAACAACTGCGAAAAACACTACATTGGCCAAAGTGGACACCCTTACCCTTCGTCTTCGTATCCACGAACATAAGCTAGCCGTCAAAAGACATGATATCCACTCCCTCATTTCACTACACACAGACAACTACGGACATCAATTCGACTGGGACAACGTTCAAATTTTAGACAAAGGAAATAACAAGAATGCTAGAGAATTTTTAGAAGCTTGGCTGGCATTCCAGTGAATCATCAATCAACAGACACATCGAGATAGACAAAATTTATCAACCAATAAAAAAGAAACTTCACACACAAAGGGTCAAAGCTCAAGTCAAAGAAACAGTCAGTACCAATACAAGTGACCTAGAAGATGTGAAAACACACATAAACAACCAATCACCAGGTCTAAGGTCAGTGACCAGGAGAGATGATTAATAAACTCGTGGAGAAATCTGAAAGCTCACTTCAATTCGAATTGAAGTATGCGCTGAAGGAAGATGTCACCCAGTAGGGTGATGAAAGCTTCGCAAACTAACCATCCAGCTCAGGGAACAAAACCACATCAAAAACAGGATGGGGTTGCTAGCCTCATGCCTAACCTTTCCTCTTTACCAGCATTATTTCTGGCTTAACGAGGTAAATGACTGCGTCGGCCGGGTATCGAACCCCGGATCATGTGCATGGTCGGCGAGCGTCCTAACCACTGTGCCACCGACGCCCCATACAGCAATACTATGAGTCACATTCCGCAAAGACAATATATATTTTTCCAAATCACCTAATACAAGTTACGTAAAGGTATATTTGATTGAATTTCTTAGATTTTCCCGTCGATTGATTGATTGATTGGAGCAAAGTACTCGGTATCAGGTTGACATGTCTGTTGGCTTCTTCTTGTGCTGCAGATGCTTCGACGATATCTGGTCTGGGTATGCAATTCGAATTTAATTGGTGGATAATGGTGACTAGCAGTGGAACCCAGGATGCGCATTTCTTCCTTTTCAGTACTAGTCGGCTAACTGGATGTACCTGCATTCTTCAGTGAGCCAGTGATAGTGTTTCCTCTACAGAGGCTCGAACCCAGTGCCCGTAGTTTCAAAAAACCTATCAAAGCGTTATCCAGTGGACCACTTGGGCCACGTGAGTCACAGTCTCTTGTGCAACGAGTCACACTGATAGTCACCATCCACCAATTAAATTCTAATTACATACCCAGACCAGATATCATCGAAGCATCTGCAGCACAAGAAGAAGCCAACAGACATGTCAACCTGACAACGAGCACTTCGATCCAATCAATCACTGGACGGGAAAATCTAAAATTCAACTAAATAATTAATATGACCCATTGAACAGGAAGTGGGGTGGCTCTCATCGCCCAAGTGGTCTAGTAAATAACGCTTTGGCTGATGTGATGTTTGAGACTATAGACACTGGGTTCGAGCCTCCGTGGTGGTGGGAACATCATCATTGACTCACTACTGGGTATGTAGGTATATCCAGTTAGCTAACGAGTACCAAATAGGACGGACGAAATGCGCGTTATCCTGGCTGGATTCTGTCTGTCTGTCTGGATTCAACATAGAACTTCGCACCGAAATGCCCCAGTTCGAGTTGCCACGTTCCAAATATCACACAGAGGTAGACAAGAAGATGAGTGAAGAGAATCAATACAGTCTGACAAGTATAAGAGTGAAACAGAATGGGTAATGGTAGAAAGGAGGAATATAAAAGATTACAGAGACTGAATACATGTGCGCTGGCCATTGACAACGATTTTGAGCCATGTCACTACTAGTCACCATCAACCAATTAAATTACACAGAGATAGTTTACCGTTTTCAAGTGTGCCTAGGGAATATCTGAATTCATGGTTATTACACCTCCTACTAGTTCAGGTTATATACATTTTTGAAGTGGATTTGACAGAGGTTCCCACTGAAATTCTGTTCAACACACTTATGGCAATCTTTTTTTTATTTTTCGATTTACTTTACTTTGTTCATTTTGCTGCATTAAAAAATGTCATTCAGTTCCTTCCATTTTATTAAGTTTCAGCAAAGTAAGAAGGTCGGAATTCACACATTCGACTGAGTTATAGACAGCTTGGAATAATAAAAGTTATTCAATGAATAAACAGAAAGTTGAGGTGTTGTACAACTAAGAGAATCCTCAAAGAGATTAAACAAAGCTTCTGTTATCAATCTCTCTCTCACTACACCCAGATGTGACATTAGATTTCAAAACTGTCATCCTATCCCATCCAGATTATTGTATGGTTGTGTGTAATTGCATGTAGTGCTATAGCTGAACTATGAGTGATGAACAATAGATTTTGTTCGAAGCGTCATCCAGTATTCAATAATACTGTTTCACTGTGTGATACATCTAATAAACAAAACAAATATGGAATTACTTACTATCACAATGCCTAAACTTTACACATATATTAGTTATTAGTGTCGTGTGTCTAACCCTTCGTTTCGATATAGATTGAATTATATCAAGGTTGCAGAAACACCTTGGCTAACAACTGCCAACAAGTGATTATTATTATTATTATATTATTAAGCATGAGACCTGGGTATCTAAGACTTCCAGCAGAGATTGCCTCTCTAACACTCCACGGTACACCGTGACATTGTAAAACCTGGCAATAATAACGCTTCACAGAACACTACAACAGGGAGAATTTAATTACTTAACACCAGAGTACAAAAGCAGCATCGTTAGCATTTATGACAGATGACTGTTTGTTTGTGTGTGTGTGTGTGTGGAGTAGGAATCATTTTTGATAATGCCCTTTTCGTTTTTATTTTATTCCTTAAGCTTTGAAGCTTCAGTAGCAGTTGTGGAGTTACTAGCCTAACGCCTAACGCACAACCTTCCCTCTTCACTGGACTTACACTACCGGTTAGACAAGGTTTTAGAATGCATCGGCAGGGAGTTCGAACTTCGGCCCACGTACGACGGTGTTGACGATTATTCCTACTAATGATCCACCAATACACTTAGTTTTATTTCAACTAAATTAAAAGTCTAAACAAAAAATGATTTCAGAAAAATTCGAGCTTTAGTGAGTGAGCTGAGTGCCTCTTCAGTGGAATCCAACGAATATGCACACTGAAGACAGACACACTTGATGACAACAAGCATCACTAGCTAAGACCCTGGCATCCCGAGCCATTGATGTATGTTGTGTTTCAGAAACACGCATACAAGACCCAAGTGTGGTTATTCACCTAACCCCACCTGGCCAACAGGATGAATCTTCAAAATTCACCTTGAGGGTGTCAGGAGATGCCACAGCTAGTTCACGAGGATTAGCTGGCGTAGGGATAGCTTGAGTACTAGGGCAGAAAAGACATTGCTTGACTGGATCCCAGTAGATAGCCGAATGTGTGCTGTCCGTCTGAACGGATCAGTAAGAAGGAGAAAGGACTGCACTACTCGCCGATGCCTTTTCGTAATCTCCGCCTACGCCCCCACTGACTGCAGTTCGGATGAAACGAAGGATGAGTTCTACCAAAAGCTGTCTAGTTTGGTGAGAAAGGCTAAACGCTCAGATATAGTCGTTCTAGCTGGTGACTTTAATGCTCAAGTAGGGAAATTGTGTCAATCTGAGAAGGATGTCGGTGGCACCTATGGAGTTCCGTGCCAGCGAACCGACAACGGTGACCGTCTCCTACAGTTCTGTTCAGATAATCATTTGTTTCTTGTAAGCACTAACTTTAAACACAAGGAGAGACACTGTTTAACCTGGCGACCCCCATCATCAAACCAACGCTGGACACAAATAGACCACATAGCAATAAGCTATCGTTGGCGTGGGTCGGTAGGAGATTGTCGCTCCTTCTGGAACACGTGTGTAGATACCGATCACGCACTGGTCCGGGCTCGTGTGTGCTTACGACTGAACGGACGTAGGAAACAGCTGGCGGTAAAACCATCACGTCCCCAGCTCGATCAGGAAACTAAATCCCTATTTGAGGAAGAACTAGCTAAACGCATATCTGAATTCGACAGCTGTGCTCACCCTGGAGAAGCCTGGAAGAATATTCAGTCAGCTATAGATACAGCTGTAAAAGCTGTGAATAAGGCAAATCCAAAGGTGAGTAAAAACCACTGGATTTCGACTGCCTCATCCGAACTGATAGATGCTAGAAGACTTATTCCGGCGAGCTCCGAATTCAATGAGGAGCGAAAGCTGCACAAAAGGAAACTTACTAAAAGTCTCCGCAAGGACCGTGAACAGTGGTGGGTGACAAAGGCAAAAGAGATGGAAAAAGCATCGGCGATAGGCAACACTAGGCAACTCTTTAGACTCATCAGGGAAACGGGTGGGAGAAGGCAAATCATAAGTGAGACTATTTCTGAGAAAAATGGCTCCTTAATTAGCTCTCAGGATAGACGCCTTGAACGCTGGAAAGAACACTTTGAGGGACAATTTAACTTGCCTACAGCCACACTGAACCTCCCCGACATCCACACACCCGAATGGGATATAGACACTGGTCCGCCG